TTTTGACCACAAAACAATGGGGTGGCGGCAGTGGTCCAGTTGAGCGACGAATGCCGACAACAGGGTCCGCCAGCGCACCCCGCAAATGTTGGCATTTGTTATTGCGCACAGATAACGCCTGCCAGAGTCCGATGTGGCCCCCGTGTTGGTCCAGCGCATCTAACACGTGGCCCGTTTAGAGGGCACATTTGCGGAAATCGATGTACACGACATCGACCTCAAAACCCTTTTCTAGAGCCTTGGTCCAGATCTCCAGACAAGCTAGCGGATTTGAGAGGCAGAAACGTTCTCTCCGGAAGCCATGTTGAAAATCCTGCAAGATGTTATTTTCTTCACAAAACTGCTGCATAACGCTCTTTACTAGAGCTTCCATCGTTTTGCAAGGAAGGCCAGTTAAGCTAATAAACCTGAAGCTGCTTGCTGTCATCCTGCTACCTGCCTTATGTAGGGGAACGAGGTTAGCTGTCTTCCACTCTGATGACAACCATCCTGTTCTCCTTGACAACTCAAAGAGAGTCGAAAGAGGTTTCGACAGCTCCGTTGTTAGCTGCTTAAGTATTAGCCCGGGAATTCCGTTGGGTCCGGGAGACTTATCAGGTTTTATTTGAATGAGGACGCGTCTTACTGCTTTGACGGAAAAGGCGACGGTTTCAATGACAACAGTATCCTGGCGAATTTGAAGCTTCGGGCTGTCTCGGTCCATTTCAAACTGCTGATTGTCTTCTGAGGACACCACCGTAAAAACCACTTGATAAAAACTGAGACAGAAAGTGCACTTTCTGTGGCCCTTCAACTACTAAGCTTTCGAGGCTATCCTTTAGACACGCAATTCCGTCCCTATGTTTCCTCCTAATTCGGATGTACCCGTAAAACCTCTTGAGACATGTAATGGATTCTGCTATCAGTCGGCGGTCGAAAGCAGCTCTGGCAACCCGTATTTGTTTGCGGCATTTATTGCGCTGATCCTTTTATTTGGCGAATGACCTTGGATCTCGAAGTTGCAAATACTTTTTGCAGAGTCTTTGTTTCTTCTTCGTGGTCTCCTTTGGTCGTCGGATAGACCCACGGCGGTCGCATACATGGTCTTGTCATTTTTCTTGGACAATGGGAGTCAATTAGACGCTCTATCGTCCCGCGAAAATACTGCCAGAAGTCGTCTGAATCTTTCATGTTGACTAACCCGGTTTCCTTCAAAAGAGTACGTCTCATTGGGCTAAAGTCACCCTTCCAAATGTTTCTGCGCCTTTTGATTTTTGGTTGTTGGTTCGATAGGAGAGAGCACACACAGGTAAATGCAAAATGATCGCTTAAACCGAGTGGAGGTTGTGGATTCACTTCCCTTATGAGTCCTTCTTCTTTACTGAAAACGAGATCTAAACAGTTAGATCGTTGTCCTTCTCTCATTCTTATTCCGAATTTTATGTGTTGAATGATGTATTCATTCAGGGATAGTTGTAGTAGCTTGTGGTCAAATGACGTGGACGGGGCGTTTGTTAGGGGAATCTTCCAGTCTATTCCTGGAGCGTTGAAGTCACCCAGAAGTAGTAAGTACTCCTGCTTACATGACAACTCCAGTGCACTAAGTAATTCCATATCGGTCGAGCTGGGAGACCGATAGACAACACATAGGTTCAGTGTTGGTAATCGCTTGATACATATCTTGCATGAAACTTTTTCAAAATTTCGCGGCGCCCCATCGGATATTTCTCGCTGACAGCACGAAATTTCCTTAGACATATCAATAGCTGTGCCTCCTCCTCTACATTGAAGCCTGTAACAACGGAACAGTTGGCAGCGTTCAATACTGACTTCGCTATTAATTATTTCCTCAGTCAACCATGTCTCTGTTAGGACAATTTTGTGAGGCTTCTGTTCAGAGACTAGTAATCTGAGTTCAGCAAACTTGTTGAGGAGACTCTGACAGTTAATGTGATAGATTTCTAGACAGCGGCCACTGGTGCTAGAAGCCTCAGAAGTTCGCGCCTTTGCATTGATTAGGCTGTCGGAATGACGGCCTTCGGCCAGAGAAATGTCCTTTTGATCTTAATTTTTTTGTCCGTTCTTGATTTGTAGGTGTGTTTCGCGTCTGCTTCTCCGCTTTCTCAGCTCCGTTATCGGCTCTTTTGGCTCGTAATCCGGCTGAAAAAACTTCAGGATGCTGACTCCACAGAGATGATTTTCTCTGTAACAGGAGCTGGGCCTGTGCTTCAGTCTCCAAAATTACTTTTAGCGGTCGAGGCCGAGAATTGGAACCGGATACTGACCGATTGTTCCCTATTCGGAAGGCTTTGAGAGCATTAAGCGACTCACCGTCTCTTACCAAAGCTTTCGAATACACTTGAAGAAGGTATACGTCATACTTAACTCTCACCTTTGGAATTGTTGCCGTTGATTCGGGTACTCATTTTATAACTACATTTTGGTTGCGACTGAATCTAGCGCTCGTTGTTGTCGCACATCTTTTGAGTGAATGAGCGTTCTTTTCCAGTTTACTTATTTCCCAGGCTCCGGATGAACTGGCTATTGGGCTAGCGAAACCGAGATCCGTGTACGATTAATTTATCTTCGTGTTAATAACCTTTCCTTCTGTGTGTCCGCGTTGTTCGTCGAAAAAACTTACCTCGGTTTCTTTCGAAGCCTCCGCTTGAATATTCGGTCCACAAGGTGTTCCGATATCTTTATTGTTCAACATAGTTGGGAGCCTCCGGCGGTCCTTCGTGGACCTCCTGGTTGTCCTCCTCAGTTGGTCTGCGTGCACGTAAGCGACCTTCGTTTTTTGGACCGTACAGAGGTGCGTGTGGTTTTCCTGGGATGGTTCTTTTTTCTCTGAGTTCGCTTTGAATGGTCTTTTTCTCGCCTAAGAGACTAGCATTCAACTGTGTCTAATTCCCTGGAGGAACCATCGTCAGTTTCAGCGTTTAATATGGCTAAAGGAGCCGTGGTTGCATATGCTTTTTTCGGATTCTGGATTGTGGAATTCGGCGGCATCTTCTCTTCACGTAAGTAGTGAGTAACCTTCCTTAACTTTTCTACCTCCATTTTTAGACATTTTAACTCTCCCTCCAATTTCGAATATTTATGGATGAGTCCGAAACATGCTGTACAGATTTCATCGTCGTATGTGACATCCCCAACGTCACTAGAATTTTTGCTCGTTTTACGGGCATTGCTCTGACAGCAGAACGTCCAACACTGCAGTCATTAATATCATGGTCGGGTTCGACTCCTGCCTGGGCAAGCATTTTACATCGTGTTTTGAGGGCATTTCTCTGAAGAACATTACTGAGTTTACAAGTTTCAAGCGGTTTTCTTAAAGGTATGAAACGAATTTTCAACTAGATCACAGATATGAGGTTAACGACTCAGCCTTTCGTAGGTTTTGGAATATCTCAGTGCTGTTGTGGAGAGGCGACTGGACGAAAACAGGTTATCTTGCACAGGCCCTGGTGTAAGTTTCCAAGGATGGATCGGTCGCAAAGACGAATCGGATCCATAATACCCACGAGCCTCGAGGACGTCCAGTAGATAGAAATCCCGATAAAAATGAAATTCCCCGAGGTCGAAAATGTCAAACCAAATTCGAAAGGCGCGGTCCTGATAGAAATCCATAGATAGAGGGAAGGTGCCATTAGAAAAAAATAAATCTAATACACTATCGTTTCTGATCGAAGAGTGGACTAATTGAGGCAAGTTTGAAAAGTAAATGGTGTTTAGAAGCTTCTGGAATTTAGGAGAGGAAGTATATGTGTGCCAGTTAATTTCTGGCAAAATAAAATCGTCATCTGATTAAACGAACCCTCCAATTTTTGCGGGGTTTCGGTCTATAGCATGCATCACGTTGGATAAATCAGCTGGCATATGTTGATTACCTCGGTAGCCTATGGTCGAATGGCGTGAATGCACGCAGGAGCGGAAAATTTTAAAAATGCATTATTTCGTTTGTATTATTAGGATTTTTAGTTGCGCAAATTTGTATTAAACATTTCAGAGGATCATATGGCAAGCATACATATTCTTCCGGCCAATTCCTGTCGAGACAGTACATTTGTATAGGAATGGGGTAAAAACTAAAATGTGTGAACAATAACACAAGGAGATTACGGGTGGTATTTCCTTATACCTCGCGCTTTGAGTGTTTTTGGCTACATGAACCTGCCCTTACTTGTTATCGACCGTTTCCCTCTTTGCCGCATTGTCGTCATCGAAAGTATATATTATAAGGGCAGCTGAGACTTTGGATACCTAAAAAGAGACAACGAGAAATTTGGAGTTTCTGAGTTCCTTCGAAAATTGACGCATAGACAGAAAATGCACACAATCGATGGCAATACTCACCTTAACTCGACACCCTTCTACAAGTCAGTGGTTAATACTTAGTTTACGCTTCGTTTAGCGCAAGAAGCAAAAGGCAACTTGATTCACTTTGGTAGAAAACTGGATTGTCCAGCTCGGGAGACGTTTGCGTTTATAGAAGTCTGCTTAAACTGAGAAAGTGAAGCTGCTCATTGAAAAAACTTTATCCTGTTTCTGGCATCTAAAAGAGATTGGTTAACTCTCAATTTGCAAGACGTTTAATGTAAGAAATTGACTAGAGGTTGGAATGACCGACCGAGCTAGTCACCTTCCACTGGCAGAGTTTTTCTTTCGCAGTCTGTGCATTTTGGCAGTTACTTCTGGGAATTGACGGCAGCTGACTCTGCGCGTCGTCATTATTGTGGCGGATGTTTGTAAATCAGGCCTCTCCTCGACTAATTTCGTAGTGAGACCGCATTATCCAGTCATTTAAATATTAGACATCGAGCTCTTTGAAAATAGGAGGACCAAGAAAGCTGTTCAAAACTTCGGCAACGGGGCAAAATCTAGTTTGATAAGCAATTTCGGTTTCTCAAGCTATCAACTCAGAGGTCTCAGTTGCTATACCAAATTTTGTTTAAACTAACCAGCTAAATCTTACAAAGGGCAGAACGTTTTTTGAGCGTATCGGTATTTTCGCCAGAAAAATGGCGGGACTTGGTATGGCATCGGAAGTTGTAAGCAAGTGACAGTTTTTGGATCATTTTCATTTAGCACCACATACTTGAAGTACCTGAAATCGGAAAGTTAAACGTATACGTGCAAGTGAGTTCTTAAATAGTGTTAGTCTTTGTATACAAACGCTAAATTGTATTTTTGATGACGAGTAGAATGCTTTTGCGTTTGCTTACATGTAAATGCACGCGACGCACCGCAACACACGGAGCTGAATTCTTTCAGTTTTTACTCTTCTAATTCGTGGACATCTACTTGGATTGGTCTTGCGGAAACTGCCTTGCAGCCCCGCGGCTGCACTGCGTCCAGAGTACCTTCAAGGGATTCTAGGCTTTGAGGATTTAAATGTCTGGCTATTTTCGATTTGTTCTGTACTTTTGCGTTTACTTTATCCAAAAATTTGTTAGACTGATCGCTAACTTTTACGAGTCTCTATTTTCTATAGGACATAATCATGGAATTTGTAAATCAATTTGGACGTAGCCGCTATATATTAGAAAAATACAGAGCGCTGACATTTTACTTCAACGAAAAACGCTTTCAGACGTGCAGAAATAAAACGGTCTGCAGAAACGACGGTGTATGGGCTAATTATATTTAACAGGCAAACGACAAATAAATTTATGTGACCGAACACCTTATTAACAAGGCCACCCTAACATGCAAGTACTTTAGCATAGTGCTTTTTCTTATCTGCTAGAAATATTCGGTCAGAATACATCAAAGTTTCATACTCACAGCATCGTAGATATGAATATTCAAATACGTTCAAACATCATGTTCATGGTTTTAACTGAATGGTTAATCCTATTACGTTTGCAATTAATTAATTAATATCTTCTGATTATGTCACGATTTTACGTTTAATCTTTCACCACAGGGGAATCTTGTCTCGCATTCTGTCGCATTCCTTACAGTCCATGATCTCGGTTGCAACCGTGAGTTAATATTTTCTGGAGGATCAAGCTTTCTTTATGCCTGTTCCACACGTACCAGATTGTCATCTTTTGCACACAACCTCAGTTCACATGATAAGCTGTTATTCACACTATCCTACACTGCCTGCAAATATTTTATATACTACCTAAAAAATATAAATTATCTCACGCTCCATATAAAAGCGTCTGCATTGGCAGGAATGTTTCTGAGCTTTTTGGTGTTCGAAATGTAGTTTTACACGAGTGGAATCCTATAATGGTCAGATCACTTTACAATGCAAACAAAGCAGATAGCGCCTGCGCATTGTGTCCCCGTGCATTAATTTTTCGAAGGCAATATTAACACTCGTGAGCAACAACTGATTCTCATAAGACAGTATATTATTTTAAATTGACTTCATGCAAACCATTTCTAGGGAAGGTCCCAAAAACGACAGACAATCGATATTAAGGCTCGTATATGTTTCGATGATGCCAAACTATTACCTCTTTGCTGTGCAACAAAGCTAGCAACAAGTTTTTTGATGCCCAAGGCATTTTAATGATTTTTATTAGTAACAGGCCATATACGACTTTTCAAGGAAGTTAATAATCTATTTAGCATGTATTGTGTTTGAAACGTATCACTGCGAAAGCCGTCATTACCTTTTCTTAAGCAAACAACATGCCTTTGAGTAGGAAGTGTCCCCCAGTAAAACTGGCACGGACCTAATATGTCTCTAAATCCAAAAAATCAAGCACACATTGGATCTCCTTAAATCTATACTTTAAAATGGTGGAATCGATCGGAATGTTAGCAATCCCATTGTCAACACGTTTTAGTTATCAGTATGAGTCACTTGCGACATAGAATAATATTAAAGGGAACAAAATGCTCCACTTCCCCTGTGGACTAATGTTACTAACGGGAACGAAAAAATGTGCACAAACTAATAGAAAAAATCAGACACAATTGCCTGGTCCATTTGATCTACTCAAAACTATTGTTTTAGCTTGATTGCCCAATAAACTAGGTATAAACTTTAGAAAGTTGATGTTTTTCATTGGCTCATATCCGTCGATACTCCATATTTTCCACCAAAATTATTTACCTAGCTGCTTCGAAGTCCACCTTTTAAAGGTATATCCGCTTCTAAAGAAATAATTACAGTTAAGAAGTCATTTGTCATTTCCCAAGTCACCTCTTGAATTGTTACCATTTTCATAAAGCATGAAGCACAGTAGATGTACTGTCTGTACCGTACTGATGTTAACCAAAATTCTGAAATGCGTCTTCAATTCCAAAATGATTACTTAAGTGGAGTTGTAATATTGATTATTATGTGGCATTATACCAAGGCCTTCCAGTTGTGTCACGATGCCGGATTTCGAATGACCTTCATATCAGTCGCCTGCATAACTTTTATTCCGTAAAAAGGGCTACTTATTAGTATAAATTTTACTCAATGTTTTTCGGTACCCTTATATTTTATTGAAAACATACACGAAAACATCCTTTCTTTTGTTCATTTGGTAACAAATCGCGTTTGCTTCCAACTTTATACTTGGAGAAAGAGTGTCCTTTGGTTCTAAAAAAATTTCTTATTGTGACACTTCTCAAGACCTTGGAATTTCCAATCGTACAGCAGCAGATTATCACATTTATCAATCCTGCCTGTAAAATGGACAATGTGGTCTACATCCACTTTCAACTTTATATGCATGCTTTATAATAACACATATAAATATACGAGTTGTTTGCTCGAAGAGAATGAAGCTTGTAGTTCGAAATTTCTGAGCGCAGGTGGAAAGCCCAGCCAGGTTTAAAATTATTCGGAAATCAGTTAAGCTATGCAAAACCGAAAAACACTCTCTCTTCAAGCATAAAATTTCACAAAGACGTAATCCGCTAAAAAATAAGCTAAAAGGAATATTTTTGTGAATATTTTCTACACAATATATTTGGATTTTTAAGGGTATCAAAAATCAATAGTAGAAATTCGTGCTGACTAGGCAGCCACTTTTTGCGTGGTATATTTTTCGCAAATGGTCGATAAAAAGCTTATTTGAAGGCCAAAATCCCTAATAAAGTAATCCTCTGAAGTTGAAAACACATTACATATTCCCAGTCAACGTTTGATGTGATAACATATTGCATTAATTTATAATCCAAATGAGTCATATTCGGTATACTTATGCTAAAGTTGCTTTCTATGAAGAAAAGCACTTTAACTTAGCAGCATGATTTATGCTGGAACGGCCATTAGCCCGACGAATTAGTACCCTTTTATAGACGTCAGGAGTAATCATGATTGCTAAAGCAATGCATAAAAATACAGGCAATTTATTGCATGCATAGGTTTGCCTTTAATTCCTGTCTGTGTTTATTGCAAACTGAAAAGACAGTTAGCTGTCGAAATAATGGGCTGAACTTCCGTCCTAGAAGTAAACATAATTTGCGGAATGGTGATATATCCAGATTTCGTCATCGATTGGCCGTGGTTTCTCACAGCAATTTGGGGCCTTTAATTGTCCCCAATCCACTCATAAAATTCCACTCAGGTAAAGTAAGAACATAATTATACCGTGGGAGCGGGCCACAAACAGAACCTGCAGGTCTTTTCAGTAGAACCCCTTATCATTGAAAAAATAAAAAGCTTCCAATAGGAGACAAAGAAAATGAACTTACCAGCAGATTTATTGGTCAACCACACTATATCAGTAGGACTTAACTTGCAGTACACAAATTATAGTCAATACACAAGTCGCTGCCCGGCTGTGACGTTAAAAGTTTATTTTGACACATTGCTTTTAAATTCATTTTTTCGATTTTGCAAAAGGAAAAGGAACCCTTTATGTGCAAGGAAGGCAATCAATCGCCCTGAAATTACTATAAGATCGAGGTTCTAATCATCATTTTGAATCCTCATCTGTCGGGTGAATCGCGGGTAGAAATCGTAAGATCGGTTGCAAGTGAATATTCAGCATCCTTAACACAAACTACGTCGTAACCCCTAAAGGCATCACCTGCGCAGAGCTTTGTTTTTAAAATCTATCATCCTATTCTGATGGGATCCAAGCCGTCCTCTTGTTTTTATGGAAACCCGGTGCGCCATGCATGTGCCAGATCGTGTGCGCAACGCTTTAACGGGGTGTTTAGCATTGCCAGTCACTGCGTCCAGCCCCGCCTCCGGTCCCCCTGACTCCATCTTGCACTCTCACCCAAATCTTTGTTGGAGGAGAGAGTGTGCATATGCGACAGACGTCTGCCACCTTTATGAGCTAGTTCACGCACGCGTCATCGCTATGCGCCCACCTTGTTGGATTTCACCTGACAAACGGTGTAATTTTTAACGGTCCAGCTGCCATAGCCTTTCAGCTGTTAGTTGACTGTGTGTATGATAAGAAAACTCACACAACAAATATTGGAACCGTAATTTGCGGCCAGCCTAGTAAACTCTTGAAAGCATCAGTGTCCTTCAGGTGTCACTGCTAAAACGATAACGCTCCTAATTTAGAAAAAAGACAAAATATATCTGTTGAGGTAGACTCAAGATGTTTTCCCATAAATATATTCATTACCATTCATCCAATATGTCCAAGTAAAAGCCTTCCATTTTTAAAACAAATAAAGACCCCGTAATGCCGAACATCTCTGGAAATCGAAAACTCGGCTAGCCTCTGCAAACACTAGGTAAGCTAGAATGCTTTCTTAAACACATTTAACTGAGAGCCTATTAGTAGGCCTCCTCTAATGTAAAGTTGCACTTTTTGAGTTATTTTCGACTTAGTGGCGGCATAATCTTACCTAAGGATACAACCTCACGATAACCGCAACAAGGCCTTCTATGTAGGAACATGCGATAACTCTTGCCCGATTTCGGTAGATATATCTTGGTTGATGGAGCCGATGCCTCTGCGAAGACCTGGATGCCAGACGAAAAATGGATCTTCTGATATGACTTGGCTCGTTACCGAGGTGACTTTATGCGGTTGTTTTGGAATTCAGTAGGTTGCCGGGAGATATCGCTAGCAGTACAAGACAGTGCTAGGTACACTCCTAAAGTGGAATTCGGGTCGGTATTAGTTAGCTGCGTTAACATTCTCTCCCTAACTCTCTTGAGACCATGTAACGAATGCAAGATATTCATAGAAACAACTGAAGAAACTTGCATGCATAAATCGCCAAGAAACAGATGCTAGAGGAGCTTTCAATTTTTTAAAAAAAAGTTGTTATATGAGTCCCTGTGAAACTGTAGGCGAAGTTTGGAGAATAATTATAAAAGGGGTTTGCCTTCAGTGCTGTTCAAAATCAATTGTTTAGAATGCCCTGCCCAAGGAAGGTTCCTGCAAGATGATTGTTTCTTGGGAAGTATTTACGGACCTTAGTATTCAAGCCTGGATGTCCGAATCTCAAAAAACATTCTTTTTCTTTGGACGCACAATAGTGGGAAAGTTCCCGTTGTTGTTTTCCTTCTGAAGGACCTTTTCGGATTGAAACGTCACGTCTCTCCGTTGATACAGGCCTCAGAATATAAAAAAGAATATTACGCTCTGCATAACGAAGCTTGAAATACGATGCGTTTTATTATTCTACTGCATATAGCCTGAGCTAATACGTATAGTAGGTGGACTAACTCATGAAATGTCAACCGAAATTTTTAAATGCGGTTTCGTTTCGAAAAGACTAATTTAGTGGGGTTCTAAAATTAATTGTCATGCAGTATGATTCCACAATAATTCAGTTATCTCAGGATGACGGCTTCGAAAGGATTTCTTTTCGGCTGCACGCAGGAACTACACTTTGTAAAAAATATCTACTTATATAAAATGCATTCCTCTCATTGAATTTCGATGCTCTTAAAAAGCAAGTTATATTTCATGCAAAACGTGCATAAAAATATTCATTCTTTTACTCATTCGGTAGAAAATGACGTCTTCCAATTTTGTATTGGCAAAAAAGACATCATTCGGTTTTCAAACACTAACAATTTCCGAATAACTTTCAACCCGACCTGCCGTTACGCTTGCATTCGGGGTTCCCGAACTCCAAGTCGTATATTTTCCGCGTATGGAAAACCGTAAATTTCTCTGCGGCATTAAGAGGAAACCTTATGGGGTTCATTAAAGCTAGCAGTGTATTTGAGCCATATTACTGACGTTACAAGCCACATTGGTGACGTTTTATGAACGGCCATTTCACGGTATTAAAAATCTCAAAATTAGAAACTTTTTATAAACCAAATTTCACCCTTCATTTGAACAAAGATGTATTTTTTACTGACTGAGCAAAAAATGAATATTTTAATGCATATTTTTCATGGAATATACGTGGATTTTTAAGAGCACCGAAAAACAATCAGAAACATACATGCCACCTTAGTAGTCATTTTTTACAGAGTGTGCTTTCCGCGTGCAGCCGAAAAGAAGTTCTTTCGAAAGCAGGCATTATGACGTAACTGAATTATTATAGAACTATGCCACATGATGATTACTTTTACAACCCCACTTAATTAATCTTTTCGAAAGGAAAACGCATTTCGGAATTTGCGTTGACATTTAATGAATTAGCCCACCTACTGAACGTTACAGTAAAAGTATTCTTAACATGCTTCGCGCAAAATTACTTTTTACAAGTGTTTTTACCAATTTTCTCTATCGACGACTGGAACATTTAATTAAATTGGAGAACGACGCCCTTCACGAGCGTAATATTTTCTTAAATGTCCCGCGTAGGGTGCAAGTTTTGCTTTCCATAACTGTGAAGGATCTGTGGAGAATAAATTCCAATTATCTGACTCCATGAGCGCTATAATCACACCATTCATGTCAGGTATGCAGTGCCGCATTTTTTTGCTACAGAACAGCCACTCCATTTTTCAAAACATTAACAGAAGAACAGGCTGGAACTGTCCCCTGTTAACATAAACATAGGCATTAGTTTCACCATACGTCCATCACTCGCCCCGTATGCTGGTGAGACCAATTTATATTTAAAGTTTGGATTCAGATATTAAAACCCGAGTATCAGGTCATGCACCACGCTCTGCCATGAAATGTGCCCACGATTTCTGAGATTTAACCAAAATGGCGATTATTCTTGCGACCCCGTTGCTAGACTTGACTACTGAAGTAATCCCACTCTGTAGCGTCACCCTACAAAACACTGATGTATGATCGTGAAGTTAACGAAATATGCTACCTACATACGTCGGAATTCCCAAAGTTGAAACGCGAACGCTGACAAACAAGCTCTTTTATTATACTAACTAACAAGCAGGTATGCAATTAGTGCTGAAATTTTGCGGAGCCATTTCCGCAACGATATTATTTTGGAAAAGACCTAAGTACATTTATATCTCCCTTTAGCCCTTTTGCATTCTTTCCGAAGATTGTCCTGGTAATTCACAATTTCAAAATAAATGATGCTAGTCTTGAAAATGAGCTACGTTTTCTGACCTTCAGACGCGGTTTTTCTAAAATGATGTCGTTTCGGCGATCGTGTTTATTGTTTGCTTTAAGAAAGTGCTTACAGATACGCGTGGTCGTTGACTCATAATCATACTGTGACTTGATGAGAAGAGCCACACGTCTCATTTTTTAATTGCTGCCTATCACAACTGTCTTTTAACCAATTAATCGGTAAGTCTGTCTCAGTAATGCTGAACCTTTTTTTAATGTCCCATGTGTGGAGACATAGGAATTTTTGCAGCGGCGCTTAAAAACTAAGTTTTCAGCCGATGAGAAGCAGAACGTGAAAAACAATAAGTTTTACATGGGACTTTCTAAAATAGGTAACTTCTTACCATGGAAAATTCTATCATACGCACTGCACGCTGCTCTTCTTCGGCAAGCAAAAGAGCCCTGGTCTTCGACCGAGAGTTTTTGTCTGTAGGTTCGCAAGCCATCACTACGTTATGCCCAAACGTCTCCAACCAGCCAAACAAGGGATTGGTCAGTTTCACTGCCGCATGCCTAGGCTCGGTCTTTGCGCGCATACTTGTTGCATAGCTGCCGTTCATAACATATGACTGTTCATAGAATCAAAAAGCCATTTTATCGGACTTCTGGACAAAGACTGAATTTCGAAATTAAATGGCTGACCACGAAAAGAGGACTGCTTTGCCGGCAATACAAGATTATGCATATATATCGGGGAATCTAGCAGTTACAAAACTGCGTAGTTAAGGCACGCAAGGGCGGTTGTCATTTTGCCGGGTTATAAAAAGAACGTCAAAAACGGCCATGCGATGCTGACTTCTCTTAATGCTCTCGCACATGAACATATTTCGGACAAAATGGACCCCGTGTTGCAAAAGTATGAGCGACTAACCGCCAGTCTGGGGCCAGGCGACTACCGTAAGGACAAAAATGACAAAATAATTGGTTCGAATGTATTTCGCCCATTTGGTGGAAAAAGGAGACACATTAATGTTTATCGCATCGTCTTCAAAATGCGAAGGAACGAAGAATAACTTCCAGAAAGACTCTGTAACTGGTCCCGCTGTTCTTTCTGGCAGTACAAAGCGCAGATAGGATTAAATATGATCAAATTTATTTTCCTCACTGGTTTGAACGTCTCAGACTTTCTGAGTTCGTTTGAAACCTGCTCACTTGTGCTAAGAGTGAACGACATTAAAACCGCAAGAATAAATAATCATTAGGACTACATGAGCGGAGAGGCAAACTGTTTTGACGTTGGAGACTAAATATGACCCCTATATTCGCACTCTTTCGGCTCCTGCGTTTAAACTGCTTAACGGATGGATGGCGGTTACTATGCGGTACAACCAACAAAGCACTGATCACAATGTCTTTATATATTTTGTCATATAAAGAGTTACCTTAGTTTAGTTGCGAAAGTGATAAATAGAGTTCATCATCCGAGGGAAGACAACGCACGGCAACATGGCTACCAAGCAGGTTCCTGGCCATCCATACAATTCATATTCTTAAAAATTTGCTATTGCTTACTTCGTCATCATTTTATTGTTTATAGCATATATCTTTAAAAAACACTTTCCATTAAACATGTGTGGAATATGCTTTCTGTTGGTCATTTTACATGAAGTTGGGGTATTTCATACTGTGTACTGGGAAAAAGCGAGAGTTCAAATCTCCGAACGTTCGTAGTTGTGGAACTTTTGAAGCTGTTTACGCAGTTTTTCGTACAGCTCATTATTTCTAAGCCTTTAGACCAGCGCTGACAGAGTATGGAGCCTGATCTTTACTCGGATCTTTTTAAACGATGAGGAAAGCATCTAGCAAATGGTTTCGAAATCTTAAGGAAAGATTAAGCAAGGAGATTGGATTACAACGCGCAGTAGCACGAGTTAAAGTAGGCTTATGTTGCACAGCAAGTCTACGCATCCGTAAACAGGTATTTGGTCGTCATACACTTTTGTTACCGAAATCGTGCGGAACATCATTTAGTTAGTGCCATCGTTCATTTCCTGTCCTTTATTCGAAAGTAGAGAACAGCAAAGTTAAAAATGATCCGTCAGTATTTTAAAAGCACCCTTGTTCTCACTACGTGTTGGGGAAGTTTTCGTTTTATCGGACTTACGGAGATAACCGTCGGTTCTGGTGGCAAGTTTGTGCACACAGCCAAAACTCATCATATTGAAGGCAAGCCAAAATACACGGGTTTTTGGTCTGCACCTGCGGAGTATAGAACGTATGTAGCAGACTGGACAGATGCTTTTTCTGTGCAAGTCGAAGGAAGTAGAGATAGGTTCGTACGGCATCCTGTCTGTGGCATTTTTCTGACCAAGTGCTTTCATGGGTTTAGTCAAACTGACTTACTAACGTAACGAATGTGCGAACAGCAAAAAATTCAGCTTAACTTACAATCCCCATTTGCACTCGAGTTTCCTCTTGCTACCTGGAAAAACGCCAACGATCCAAGAAAGATGATGTACCACGCATAATCGGTAAACGGACGCTTATTCGTTAGCTCTTTCAAAATCTAAGATGACAGGGTCACAGACTCTGCAAACCCCAGTGAAAACTGATCAAAATGCCGACAGCATGCACTTTGAGTGCCTGTGTTAAGAAAGATTACGGTGCTTGTGTTTTGCTAGCAAATATTCTGGTTTTCTCTGTGTTAGCTAATTTTCTTTTGAGTGTCATCTGAACTTGCATATATAGTTCTTAGTTACTCACAATATAACTAGCTGTTGATTACTGCAAGACAGTGTTAGCGTGATGACCTAACGCCTTGGATATTACCTGTTATCAGTCTAGTGAAAGAACATGGTTTTGTTTTTGACACAGGAGATTAACTGTCCAGGAGCAAAAACAGCGTTTCTCAGGGCAAATCCGACTGAGATCTAATTTTTCAATACAAACATCAGGGAATAGAGTAAATCTATCGTTATTTACCTAACCCTACCTGCCTGCTAGCATAATATGGGCATTTCACAGCTATTCCACCAAAAATACTAGAGATTAGCTCACATATTCATATCGGTATTCGAACCGAACCTAGGGGGATTGGTGCTGAAGGATTTACTCCAAGAAAATCGAAGAGCTTGATGCTCAAGTCTGAAGTCCAATGAGATTAGGACAAGTTTGAGACTCTAAACGTTGGAGACAGCTAGAACAGCACTGACGACGTCCTATACACAAAAACGGTCGACGGATGAGGTATCACAGTCACTCGTGGGTATCTTTAATGACGCGTTTCAAAAAACATTAGTTTACTGCCAGCTGGCATATTAGTCATGCTCAGGATATTCAGGCACTCCAAACTTTAGCAACACATGAGTGAATTTTTGAGCCAAATCCCTATAGAGTGCTGCCCTAATTTTCTGATAGGCCTTGTCGTTTTAACTATCATTTTTAAATTACTACCTCCCACTGAGCACTATGACTCTTATCGCAAAAGACAAATGCACATTGAGAAGACGTACTTATCCTTTGCTGGCTCATTAGCATCATTACCCGGAGGACCTCTTAATTGTAGAGCCTAAGCCTCAGAAGAGAGTTTTGTGATGTGGAAACTTTTGCACTTATTGTCTGCAGACTTCACGTTATCCGTTCATATTTTTTGAACTCGACCGAGTGCTTCAAAATGGAGAAGGATGGTGGACGTACTGGATTTTCCAGCCAATTAGCCGGCAACCACAAATCACGCTTCTTAAGTTGTGCTGCCTGATGCTCCGTTTGTCAGTTCAGTTGGACGCGCTTCCACAAAATTCACGCGGTGGTAATAAGATTCAACCGTTTTGTTAACACAATTGTAGTCCTACCAGCCTATCGCATATAACATAAGGGGTGTTGATCCATTTCTGAAAATATGGAATCTTACATATCCACCGTATCTTTTTAATATTCGGACAACAATAACTTTTCGCGAAAAACGCAGATAAGTTCACTAAAGACAGTGTCAGAAACTACAATCAAAACCTACAACAAAATAACTCATTTTAACTACAACACAAAAAACATCCACACTCATAACGATATGCTATTATTAAATAATCCCAGAAAATCCATGAGTATGGAAAGGGCTTGCTTCCGCCTGAAACAAATTACGCAGTTTCCAAAACGGTATGCATTAAATTTGGAAAATCCACTTAAATCAGCTTTCAGTGCTTATTTGCGAGAAAAGCAATGCCTATACAAGATACGCTTACGACCATACTTATTTCTTTAATTCGTTAACCAAGACCATTTCATTTTTCGTTGCTGGTTTAAGCTAGAATGTATTCAATATTATTTCCTAGGAGAGGTGTACGAAATTCGTTCTATTGCAGATTTCGTCATTTTAGAACTTTGTCTGTTAAGGAACGACGCTAATTTTTTTTCTCGGCAGGTTCTATTTTTAAGTGTGTTTTGAAACGAAATCTACTTTGTCACTTCTTTCTGATGTTCCGAAAACTTGCGCTCCCTATTTTCTGTCGGAGAAGTTGACTCATGTATGTATGCATATGGTGGTGGAGGGACGCTCACCGATCAAAACTGACAGAACAACGAGCCCCTGGCCCAGAAGTTAGAGGTGCTGGACTTTTAACTAACAGGTCGAGAGTTCGAGCCGCAGGTATTCCACACCTCGAGGTTGCGTACGACTTGCTGACGACGTCTAATAAACCAGAAATGGCCATTCCAGTCTCCATTATCTTTGTCGGTTATAACATTCTGCTTATATATATGCAGTATGGTATTACGGACAAAGACAAGGGAGACTGGAATGGCCATTTCTGGCTTAGCAGTCGTCGTCAACCAGTCATAAGCAACCTCGAAGTGTGCAACACCCGAAGCTTTTGTCAGTAATGCCCTACTGCCTATATCATGCGCCGCTGTGCGGCTGCTGAGTGGGCTCGAGAGAGAACTCTTAAGACACAACGGAACGAGTGAGTTCCGTAAGAACGATCGGTGAGCGCCCCCTACCACTCCCCCATTTGGCCTGGAAAGTCTTTTGCCTGTCAATATACGACCATGTTAGTGTCATCATTAATATTCCATCAGGACTTTCATTTTTGACTAAATTGAGTGTTCGCATACGACGGCCGCTTACTGGCTGAAGCACCAAATGAGTACTAATTTTGTAGCTCGTTTTAAATGTCTATTGTTCTCTGCACATTTACTCGAGTCTGACGACGACACGGAAAACCGACGTCGAAAATTTGCTCAATGAATTTTTTCCTTTTCCCGGAGAACGTATTTGCTTTTAAATTATATTATATATATATATATTAGACACAGACACGTTGTCCGACGTTCATAGAGAGTTTCTTATATTCACAAAAAATTGCAACGAATTCTTCCTACGTTTCATCAAGGACGGCCGAAGCTTCGGGAAGACGGGGCATGTTTGTTTGTCTTAAAGTGCACAAGCAGGATATGCGCGTGTTATTGTGTGTGGCAAGACACGTTGCAGCTGTACGGTCGCTCATGGTTTGTTGATGCGGTAGGGTACACGTTTCATGACAGTACGCATTCGATCGATCCGTTCTGCAGATACGTTGCTGGAGTGGGAAGTACACCACGCGACCCCATATAGATCGTGTAGCGCGGACAGATCTTTCTGTTTTGTCAGCCCTCAAGCCCACCTATCGTCCTTGGCTCCACGGGACCGTGCTCAGCACTGCGGCACATCCCGGAAACCGTATTTAGCCGGCAGACTTTATCAGATGGGGATGTGCAGTGTGTGTGTGTGTATGTGCATGTGTGTAGTGTGTGTGTATGTGTGTGTGTCTTCACACCAGGAAGCCCCGGAACTAATCACCACTCTATCTCCCCTCGTCTGAACAAAAACATCTGCGCCGAAGGTGACAAACAATCCCACAGACAGTCCAGGCTGCTTCGGAACCACTTCCCTGTGCAGCAAATTCTTAAGCGACAGTGGAGTTGGCAACTTTCTGGATAAATAGCCGGTTCTGTTTGGTGGTAGAATTTCTTAAGGAGAACAATTTGACATAAGTGTGAGTGAAACACGCCGTCACCAAGCTCAGCGTGGACCGTAGACACAAATATTCATACTAGGCAAAATACGAGGCAAGAGTCGCTCTTTCCTTCCCTCAAATTCTACTTGAGTAACACTATTCCCTGTGGCGGCCTAGAATGATCACTCAATTTTGGACAGTCCAACAGCACTGTCCGGAAAGCAGGCCAGCCCTGGTCGCTTAGGGGCTAGCACACCGAAAAAGTGGACATGGTGACACTCAACGAAACTCCTTTCTCCGAACAGGGGTGAGTGGAGGTAGGTGTCAGGTAGGCAGTTTTCTGGAACTGACGTCCAAAGGGCAGGACGACAAGACGTTAAAGTCGCTTTTGCTGTCAAGTAGGACGTTGTAAGACGACTTTCCCGTCTCTCGCGGAAAACCGGCGATTATCTGGTGGTCATGGGTCTGTAACTGCACGGGGACAATTTCGCTAGTCTTATCAACGCCCACCTTTTTCCAGTGACAGACCTCGACGAGGTATAGGATAAATTCAACAATGTCGTCCATGTCTTCTTGACGAAAGGGTTAAGGACGAACAGATTCTTCTCTTAGCTGACTCAAATACCCATGTTGGTACAGAAAAAACTTTCTGTGAGGAAGTGCTATGCCAGTTCGGGTACGGCAGTGCCTTGCGCAGATAAAAAATGTTCTCATCACCAACACTTTATTCTCTCTCGCTATGCGTTAGATACAAATGTGCATCCACACTCGTTTGTGACAATGCAAATACTGGAGCTCATTATTACCGGGAGACAGAAGTAACACGATGCCCTATTAACCAGGTCTAAGCGCGACGCGAAATGACGGATGGACTACAATCTTCTTGTCTCTGACATGAGGCTGCGACTTAATTTCAACAGGCGATCGAAAAGTAAGAATTCAGAGTTAAGTTCTGCATTAAGCGAAACGCCTGAACACCAATTGAACTTTAGTTGTCGCCTACATCTCAATGTTAAACAAGTCAGTTTGTGGAAGAAAGTGCTGCTGTTGGGAAGAACCGCTGAATTCCATTCAAGTTTTTTCCCCCGAGGCACTCAGTGGCGCACACCGAAATTACCAGGATTAGTTCAACAAAAGCAACGAGATCCGAGGTCTGAACTCGAGAATAACAGTCACACAACAGTTCGGCCGTCGATTTCGACTAGGTCCACCGTGTGCCCGACAGCGATGTGGGTGCAGGGACGATGACTTGCGCGTGAATTAGTTTATAGTTACAGTAGATGTGCGCAGCATCTGCCGCTTTCTCTCTCTTTACTCCCACCCAGACTCGATGCCGTGACAGATCCAGAAGACGGGAGGCGGGAGATGTTGCAGGCCGCTGGAACAAGGGAACCCCTCACCTAAGCGTGTTACCACGCCGGTCCGGATTCCACTGAGCTGAAGTGCCACAGAGAACATAGTTAGAATAAGCCAGGGCAGCCTGACTCTTATTCCACCGGTTGGCTACTCAACACCAACAAACACTGGGCTGACCGCGAAGTCCGAGTTATTCCGTCAGTTGGCGGTCTTTACCGTTATAGATTCAAGGGCGTCAGATTGCTTATAGTAGGCGATATGCGCCAAGACAGCTGATTTAACTCACTCTTCTTACTCCCAGGCGTCAGTTTACTCCCCGAGTCATTCAGTCGTCTGACGCGAGAAACAGGCTAAACACAACCTACATCAACAGCAATATCGACGCCAATAAAGCGGCATATTTCCGGCGCTGAAGATTAGTGCAGCAGAAGACCTAGGGAGATATAACATTTTTGGCTAATTCAGAAGGCAGAAGAAATTCTGGGATAGGCTGGAGAATTGTTGTTCAGCGATCAAAGTAGTCTATGGTTGCCAACCCACGGACACTGCGCCACTGTTCAGTCACGATGGATTAACTGTGCTGTCGCAGAAGTCTCAGATGTCCCATCGTCAGAGCGCGCACCCGCAGAATATCTCCAACTACTCGTCCACAGTCTGCAAAGAAATCGTACATCGACTTTCTCACGTAGACAACAATGACAGCCCCGTTCATACTTATTCTTCCAGGAGAAAAGTTAGCGCTGTAGCAGCTGTCTAGCGGAAAGGCATTAGTCGCAGACGCAATCTCATCCAAAATCTACCAAAACTGCAGCCTCCAATTAGCGGAGAATCTTAATCCACTATTACAGGAGACGTGAATGTAACAAGAAATGCAGAAAGACTTGAAGGGCTTTCCCAGGTCCCCACAAACGCACACAAGGGGAGCTGGAGAACCTATGATAGGCTCAGAGGAATCGACCTTCTCAAAATCATAGAACAAGCTTTACTTACGTCCTACTTAATCGTCTGGACAGTCATCAGGACAGAAAAGTCTTCTGGAAACACAGTGCTGATACCGAAAGTACAGTAGAATCCTGGAAATAAGCTTTGTGATCTGCCGACTACGATAAAAAATTGTCTGGACATGATACTAGACGAAGTTCTTTGGCGAATTGAGCTAATGTACACTCCGGAAAATCATGCCTAAATCTGGGTGTCACAAGCTCTCAAATCATAAGCGGTTGATTCAAATGGCTAGAACATTAGGAGACGTATGATGACACGTGCCATAGATAATGAGGAAGTCCCTGATGCATTCACGCTGACAAATAATGTGAGACAGGGTACTACACTCGTTAACATAGTCTCAAATCGCCTGTTCTCTACCATGCTGATAGATGCCGACTGTGAGAGGCGACGAAGAATCAACATCGCCTACCTATCCGACGGACATCTGCATAACACCCGATGCAGGCATTTGTGCCGCACTACTGTAGGAATTGGAATGATAATCTATACACTCCGTCGCCTTATAGAGGTTAGAGGGCTGAGGGAGATACGCAAATCACGAACACCCCGAACCGGTGTTGTTAACATCCAAGGATTTCCATCCTGCCTGCACTGATAATGAAGATATGGACACGGATTTCCCTCGTAAGACGTTTTTGGACTCAGTGCAATATTAGCGCGACAGACCAACATCCCTTTTCATCAAAAAGCACCAACACTGTTTTGTCCTGCTTGTCGTCATCACTGTTGTCCCGTTCGCTAGCAAGTTGGACTGATTTCTGTCTTGTCACCACTATGGCCGATCTAAAACGCCCCATAGTCGGTCACTTTCAAATCCATGACGCCAAGATAACCGAATTGGTGCCTAGATATACGTCATGCACCTAGTACACACGCTTGACTTGTACAGACTGCTCTGGGGTATCTAGATCCCGTATGCGTATTTTTGGCCACATGCAAATGCAACGAAATTTTCAGTGAAGTAGCACAGTCCAGACCCCCTTCAAAACACACCACTCAACCTATACTAACATACCTCTAGGCTACATAAAAATTATTACTGAACGTGCGCATAAACGACGCGCGGCAGCAAAACATCGCATAAGTGTTCACAATATGCGTGTATCTATATGTTACGTCAAGTGCTACATGCAAGAAGATGCATATCCGAATTAGGTGAGAAATATGCCATTCGGTGTGACCTGATAAGTGTGTACAGGTGACCAGGTCATAGGTTGCATGCGCAGACGGGCTTTTCAGCTTTGCTAACCATTGAGCCCACGCTTATCCCCTGTAAGACTTAATTTTGTATTTCCATCCGAGTACAGTGGACGTGGGAGAGGGGATTGAGGTAGATTCGGCGGAAGTCTGCTCCAATAACAACAAACTCACGCGCAAGCCACTGTTACTGAGCTCACCTCGTGTTTTAACGGCGACGTAGCCATTCACTGCGGTTGAACAATGGGCTTATCGAATGCGCCCATAGGTAGTGGAATATGGAATTGTCCTCAGTGCTGGTTCCTTGTAAACTAGATGGACTCTTTATTCGGATGGACATGAAATCACCGACCATACGACAACAAACTTTTAGGCGCGGCCGTACTCCTGGTTGGTAAATCAGTTACACAAAAGAAGGTGATAAGCCTAGGCGACATTGTCGCTCGCACCTCTTCTTTAAGTGCAAATTCAAAAAATGACTTAATTTAACACATTGAGAGCTTATGTGGAGACACTTTTGTGAATCCTTTCTAGGAAATAGGATTAATTTCAACTGGTTCTCCATACGCATTGGTAGACGCCGCATGTATACCAGCAAGTAGCGTCAGTAGGTGGGATAACTCGTGAAATGTCGACCGAAATTCCGAAATGCGTTTTCGTTTCGAAAAGATTAATTAAGAAGGGTTGTAAAGCTAAATATCCGACAGCATAATTCAGTTACCTCGGGATGCTGGCTTTCGAATGAACATCTTTGGTCGCACGGAGAAACCACACTGTAAAAAAATGATTTCAGGTAGCATGCATTGTTCTCATTGATATTCGATGCCTTTGAAAAGTCAATTATATTTCATGGAAAACATGCAAACAATCTTCATTCTTTTGCTCATTCGGTGGAAAATGACGTCTTCTTCCAATTTTATACTCGAAGGAAGGGTATAGTTCGGTTTTAAAAATGTGTCTAATTGGGGTCTTTTTTTTAATACCATGCAACGACCGTTCATAAACGTCATGTCTCTGCATATATCAATGTGGCTTGCAAAGTTAACGATATGGTTCAAACCCACTGCTAATTTTTATGAACCCCATATACTTTCCTCTTAATGCCGTAGAGAATTTTTTGGTTATCCGTACACGAAAAATACACGGCTGTTAGTTTGTAAAGCCTGAATGCAAGTGAAACGGTAGGTCGGGCTCAAAATTATTTGGCCAAAAAAAAATCTTTGGCCAAAAAAACCTTTGAAGACCGAATTATACCCTTCTTCGAGTATAAAACTGGAGGCAGACGTAATTGTCTACTGAACGAACAAAAATGAATATTTTTGTGCGTGCTTTCCCTGAAATACAATTGAATTTTTAAGGACCTCCAATTTCAATGAGCAAAGTGCATGCTACATAAGTAGTCTTTTTTAATGAGCATGGTTTTTGCATGCGACCGAAAAGAAGTTTGTTCGAAAGTCGGCATCCTGAGGTTGCTGAATTATTTTGGAATTATGCTGCGGAGGATTAGTTTGGCAACTCTATTTTTTCGAAACGAAAACACATTTCGTAATTTTGGTTGACGTTTCATGAGTAAGCCTTCCTACTGTACTCTGATTTTTTGTTCGTTCCATGCTAACCCGACTAATCAACATCGAAATTCGGTATTTTGTGGCAACACCTTTTCAGTGACAGGCCTTATATGTCATAGTAATTTAAACTACTTTATCAACACTAATAGAAGTCTGGTCGAGATATGCCGTGCGCCTAGTTGTGCTTCACGCTCCTGTGTACCAAACATGTGGACATGTTTGTCCTGAGAGAGATCCGGAGCATGGTTCCTGTGTTACATACAGTACGTCCAGGCTGCGGATTCTTTCTAGACCTCCAAGGTCGGGCAATTCAGTCGAGCAAACTAAGATCTCTGTTGAAGTAAAGTTGTTCACATCCAGCCCTCTTGGTTTGGCGCAAGATGCTTTGCGTAGAAAGCTTGAGAAATCATATAATGAAACTCAGAATTTGCCCGCAATTAAGCACCTCGTGACGCTCTGCGACTTTTCTCAAAAGATATACTTTACCTCTGCTGCAAAAACCCATGAACAGATGAAGGAAATTACTATGGACTCCCCAAGCTCCTGTTTAGATGTAGTACTGTTCCTACACGAACAGGGTAAGTTTTTTTCATCCACCAGATGTCGGTATTTGGCACCATTGCATTCACGATCAATTTGTTATCGTTCAGAATAACACGCTGCAAAATGTTCATAATTTACTAAAATCAATCTTCGTAGACGTACAGTTTACGAAGGAAGATAAGGAACAACAGCTGCCCTTCTTTAAAATGCCCGCCAGACGAAGTACCAACGGCAAAATAGAAATTACAGTTTACGGGACGGTAGCGAACGCCACGCAACTTCGCACTTTCCACAACAACCATTCGGTCGCTCACAAGCAGAGCTGCGTGCGATACCCTGAACAAATAGTCTGATAGCTTTGCGATCAGTTAATGTAGGACGGCCATCTGAAGATGTTTGCAAGCTGATGCCTATATGTTTGCTCTCTCAGGACCCAACCAGAGACAGGATTCATGGTATGGTTTGCTCCGCCAAACACCAGAAGCCACCGAGCGCATTGCTGCGGGATTGAGTTTGGAAATTGTACACCGGCTCAAAGCTACCATGCACAACAGGGACATAAAAATCAAGTGCTGACTAAATCCCAAGAAGTAGTCTGAAGTCGTGTACCACATCGCATGCCTAAACTGTCCTTGTAACTATACAGGCCAGACTGAATGCATGCTTTGATCGCGCATACACGAACATTAGCTGGATGCGCAACCGATTGTCGCAAATGGCTGCCTAGACCTACGAAACGGGTCACGCGTTTAGTTCGCAGCCACGAGCATAGTGGCCCACGCCGAGGCAAAACAAGCCAGGACCTCAGATTAGAACCCTGTCAATCGGTTTTAAACTGTCACCGGCACGCAGAGCCCTCCGAAGCCACCTCCCGACTGCCGTCACTGATGTTTGATTGGGTAGTGTCCCTAATAACTGTGGCTTGTTCTGTTACCGTATGTATCTCCTACAATGGACTCCTGCACGAGCTCGAAACTTGAGATAAATAAAAAGTGGTCTCAGCGATCGGACTCACTTCTTGCCTACCTAAGATTCTGTTCAAATTTTCCACAAACATTAGAGAAGTACATTGTTTGACTGATTAATTTTTACCATCAGGGGTCATCCCTGGGAGCATGACCTCAAAAATAACTCAACTTGCTCGCCAATCCCTTGCTTTAGGTTGCGCTCATAAACGTTCCTCAATTTTGATGCAATTGACCACATCATAGAAACTGCACAGGTTGAGTCACGTTTCTTCGTGTTTTCTCATATGTTCAGTTTTTTTTACCGCAGTTTACAACTGGCGCGTTCTTATGTTAGTATCGAAATGTTTTTTGATTTAATTATAAAGAGGTTTAAGAAGAGGAGTGCATGCACCAACCTGTGAGGTTCAAATTCCAAATTCTCTGGAGCTATTTCCATTTGTTTCTCGGTTTTCTGATAAGCGCCATCAACAAATGCTTATTCTCTAGGCTACTCAAGTATTCTAGCAGACTCTGCATATACATATTACATATAACTATATTTTTGAGAGAGGCGATTTGGATTTTGGAAACAGCTTTTGTATAGATCTCAAATTATTCTTATTAGTCGAAAAGACCACTGTCGGTCTGTCTGACTAATCCTTGATAGCCTCTGCAACGCTGGTGCGTTTTCTAACAAAACCCGAGCAACTGGTCTTAACTAAATGCAGTGAACTCGGCGGAGATAAAATTGGTAGGCAATTTCATAATCTTCCGGCAATTAACTGCTCGTATCATGTGCTAATTTCGTGAACATTCTCGAGGAGCAAGGGATGATTGGTAATAACTACGACTCCTTTGTTGTAGGTCCTATCTGACCCTCAGTTGCCGCGGGCAGCTAAAGTAGTTGGTGTGTTACACCTTAACAAGTATGATTTGGAAGTTATTTCAAAACCCCTGTAATAATGAATGTACAATAGACGTAAGCTAAAATACATTTACAATATATGTAAGATATTTCAGGGGGTCTGAAGTCCTCATATTATAATATTTTACACGTAATCTTAATCGAAGTTTGGTGTCGTCGAAAATCTATTCAGAAACCAGTGTACGAGCACGATTTGCATATCTTGGAAGTATGATGCGTAGTAATCCCTATCAAAATCCCGCCTAGATAATCTTCTTTAATCCAAAGTGCGTTTCAGAATCTCAGATAAAGTTTTACGAAACATGCCACCTACTGCACAAACAAGTATTCTCTAATACGAAGTCCAGTACAATGTTGAACACCTCGAAACTTTCTAGTGATATTTGTTTCTTGTCCATATGGCTGGTAGGAAATTGCACGAGAACACCTTAAGTGTTTTCTCCGATATGTTGAGCAGGGTTTTCGCGTTCCATTATTCCTGCAAGTGAATGCAATGGACATTGTGATGATGGTTTGGCTTAATTCTGTTGCGAGTGCACCTTTTTAATAAAAGGTACCTTTTGATGAAAATCCGGGTTTTGGATGGTAGTGTTCAAATATACGCTTTAATTAAATGATGGTTTAGGAGCAGATTGAAACCGTCGCTTTTAAGCAAACAACTTGTCTCTGTAATATTCATAAATCCTGCAGAAATAATAACATTTAGAATCTTCACACACGCCTTTGTGGTTTCTGCAGAGTACAAACGCCGATGCCTGTGATTGCAACATTCCAGATTCCTTCGAAGAAGTAGGATTTTCACAGTTCTTTCTCCCATGAGATGAGTCTATGAGCATCTACTTCTGTTATCAAATGTATGAAAGTATCTAAGTTAATCCACAATACCGACTAATTCCTACACTGATGTAATAATAACTCTATTACTGAGACAATACAGGACCTAATCCATATGCTATTATACAAAACCGACGTATATCATGAGTCTGAATTTCTTGAAGGGTTTATGTTAAAGTAACTAAGATAACGAAAATGCGATAAAAATGAATTTTGATATTTCAATAACCGCCTCCTAAGTCCACGGTTCGGAGCAGGCAGCTCCTTAATATTTGAGAGGAGATACTCTGGACCGCATTGCAGTCATCTGAAATTCCTAGCTGTTCCAGTTTTTACCCCCTCTTCCCTATCATACTCTCCTTCAATACCCTCAATATCTACTAAAGCATAAAAAGAGTGCCGGCATTTCTAGACCTCTGTCAAAGGAGTCGACTAGAATCAAAGTGTTTTAACAGTTGTGTTGATTTTGGTTTATGCAATTCCATGAATATTTTGATCTAGTATGTGCGTTTTGATCTCGTGCTAATTCCTCATTTTACTTCACATTTACCATTCTTCGAAGTGCCATATAACATTCTGCGTTGGCGTGCAAAATGTAATTCCTGGCGTACGGCAACCTTTCATGAGTTAAACTCAACACCACTAAATGCTTAGTTTGAGAACTCTGAGTTTTGTATTTTGTCTCTGTGCACGGATTTGATGGATGAAAAACTCACCCGAGGTGACAGGGTTATTTCAAATATGGACGTGGCATTTAAAAAAAAAACGTGTGTCCACAAAAGCTGGCATATTCATGGAAGTACAGTTAGAGCAGTGCGACATGCGCCAAATCACAGTTTCAACTAGTGGTGGAAATATGTCGATTCTGCTTACATATTTCGTGATGTTTCACTGGAACGCGTAGAGACACATCATTGCCTTACACCCTCAGACTACTTGGGAAAGTCACATGCAAAAGGGGATTTTTGAACGTTCTTAGGGTTAAAGTTATTTCAATTAAATGAATATATGACGATTCGGACCGAACCGCCAAATCCTATTCCTATGGACTTAGTTAACATATATCCACTAATTTATGGTGTAATTACTGGTCGTTCATTACTTCCAACCATTGTTGTCATAATTGCAATCATGCTTCCCGATTTTTACACAATTAAGTTTAAATCATGAGCGGATGCTGAGTAACGTTACAGACACCCTCCATATGTCGGAAATCAAAAGAAAAAGTCGTTTTAAGGAACATTATTCAAGTTTTCTGAAGTTTTTGTCCCAATCAAGCATGTTTTCCCCTCGTTAGCTTTAATTTTACCTGTTCAGTCAACCATAAGCTCTTTCATGGGAGAGACAACTGTTCACACTATCTTCACTAAGTGTTTACACAGCGAACGAATTATGGCTTCGAAGAAATCTACACTCGACTGCTAGTGCTGTTAATCAACATTGACAAAGACCGGTTGTCTCGCATCAAATAGCAGTTGCCAGTCAATGCTCTTGCGGACTAAATATTCCATTGGCCTGGTCTATATTCGCAGCTGTTTACTGCGGGCTCGCATCCAACAGCAACGTCTGTCCGCCCAGCATTCTAATCCGCCAGATAAATTATCTTCAGAGATCTAGTAGCCGAAGTTCCATATTTTTCTACTGATGTCGAATGGTGCAAATACAGAAAATATTTCATTGAATAGACTGGGGAGTTTTCCGATGTTTGGTGTGCGATTGCACCAAGCGGCAATTTATTTGCACTCAGCGCGCTCATCCATTCTGGTTTGCCACTGACGTTTCTTACTCGGGAGGACGGGACAATTGCTGCACTGCGTGAACCTTACCGAATTTATTGCTGCTTAGAACGGTTGTTTTCACATATGCTGCTTCACAGAATGATTTGCGTTTGAGGTGCAGCCGCATCGGTCGGTTAATTCTAAAAGCATAGGCAATGTTTCGCGAGGTATCTGGCTGTTTCACCGTGACCTCAGTGGTGACGACAAAATATATTCGCGGCAAAAGGGTGAACTCGATACAGACATCCACATAGGGCTTCTTTTAGGCCTCTGCGACTGCCTTTTGGGCTTATCCAGAATCGTGACGATCCAGTTCTGCCAAGCGATAAATTTTGTCGTAATGGTTGTCTATTGATATTCAGATGGGCGGTTGATGAATGAACATCCGTTGTCTATACTCCGGCCACTTATGTAGGAGAACGTGCATTTGGGCCTCAAGTGGTATACAGTTGTCTAGATTTTTCGCCTTATTTATAGCTTTTTGGTAATGCGCCCCTCTGTTTACTTTTACCACTTTGTCTTAAGAATATCTCAGTTATTTGATAAAGTTTATTCATTTTTAAGATTATCAATATGAGGATTTCGTCAGCCACCGGAAATTACAACCAATCAACGAGCGGGCCTTGTGGATTAGCGTCGACCTGCCTGGGCAGGGAGATGGTGAGGAGGAACTACCAGCATCGTAAGTTCAGTTTATTTCGTTATCCAGCTTTTGGTTAAACTGTACTGTCAAACTTTATACGTGCGAATTCTGTGGACACCTCTGCACTTTTGGCATTGGACACATCTTAACAATACGCGTGTTTTAGTTGCCTGTTGCCTGTCAGTTAAAAAATATAACGGAAATGCTTTGGGAATCCTTGAAAATACGTAACGCATTTAAGCATTTCACCTCCAAATCATGTAAACAGGGCGAAACAGTTGTGAAACTCTCGTGATATATATAATATGAAAGATTGGATTTGTATATTTCGCCACTTTGGACCTATAATCGGCAAGTATATCAATCTCTAAATGGAGGAAACCCACTTTTAAAATAGAACTGCGTGTACCCAAGCTCGAAAGAACAAATATTCTGTAATTTGTTATCCATATGTTGCCGCAAGGAAACATGAACTACGGCACCTTGCTCAATTCCACTAAGGTGGTAGTCTAGAATCGTTGCACCTACTAAAACACACACGTATAGGACTCATGTTAATGAGATCAAAGAAAGCACTCACATGTAATGGACGTCCTATAATGACAGTTCATCCGCCGTTACCGACGATGTCCAGCGTGTGCCTCACAGCAAGGTGATAGCAAGAACGGTTATGGTGGTAGTAGACTTTTGTACCACCTACTGTAGTCACTTTTTCTCCCGCCTGAGCCCGGTGTCAAGACACAATCAAGAAGACGGAAAACGGGAAAGTAGGCGGGTGGCTGGCACGTCAACATCCGCGCCTAGGCGTGTCATCACACCCCTTTGGTTTACAACAAACACTTGACCAAGATTTTAACAAACAACAAGAATGGGTCAAAAAATGAGCACAAAGGCATTTGCAGGCAGGCAATCGGATGCCATTTAATTGTCAGCGCACACCAAACTGCAAGGACCATAGTTTGCCGAAATGTCGCAAAGTATATGCACACAATCTAGGTCATATACTCTTGGACACTATGAGCGCATAAAAGACAGGCTTAAGGGACAAAAGGTATTTAAAATCCACCATTCCTAGGCCAAAAGCGATAGTCTAAGGTGCAGACTTCTAATAGCATTTCATTCAGTACTTAGTACCTAAGCAGAACTACCTTTTCATCACCGCTCAATAGAACTGTTGAATTTGAGTGACGGTTTTTCTGTGTACTGCCTATGCAAGGTTTGCTTGCAACAGCAGTTCCTACACTCTCTTTGTTTTGAACGTCAACTCTTTGGACAAACTTGCGTTTCGTTACTTCAACTCTGTAACTACCGTTTAGAATCCTACACGCTGGCCATTTGAACGTGCATCGCTGTCCTAATTTAGGACAGAGATCCGAAAGCTATTAAAACACTGTTTTCGTGAATTTGCCCTGTAAGTCCAATTAGGCCGTGGCCTAGTGGCCAGTCAATAGTAGTGAAAATGCGATTCTCAGATGGCATATTAAAGGAGGAAGAGGCGTTCACCGAAAGGGGTTTATTGGAAGTCCGATGTTCCGAGTAGTTGATTCATCTACCCATCTTCAGGGACTGGGAAGTCCTGCACTCTGTTCAATGCGTGACCCGCCAATGCCGCCTATGTGGCTGCATCCAACCCCCGTGTCACTGTGACCTGAATCGCCCCCGTCGGCCGCGGAGATGACTGACGGCCCCGGTTGTCCCGAGCCGTGACTGTCCCCCGTTAAGAAGGTTCGTAAAGTCAGATAGGGGGGAGGCAAATTGATGTGGCGGTTGAAGGAGCCGTTGGTGGACATCCAGGCTTCTTGTACTTGCTTGCTGTATGATCACCGCCCCGGCCCACAATTGCAACACAGTCAAAATTGAAGATGTGTCCCATTTGTGCGGCATCGGTTGCTACCTCCGACTTTGGGTCCAACCTTCGCAGGGCCAACTTATGGGTCAACAATCTGCCGACAAGTGAGGCGACCAAAAGATCCGATCCCTAAGTAGGAGATGTTGGCCGTTGTCCACCGACTTCAATGCAGCTGCGGAAGGTGCAACTACTTTGGGAAACCGGTGGACCGCTGCAAACGCGAATGCACGAGCATAAGTTGGCTGTGTGAAGGTTGGACCCAAAGTCGGAGGTAGCAACCCATGCCGCACAAATGGGAAACATCCTCAACTCTGACGCCGTTGAGATTGTGGGCGGGGGGAGGACGATGACCATCAAAGCCGTATACTCTCGGACACTATGAGCGAATAAAAGGCAGGCTTTAGGGACAAAATGTATTTAAAATCCACCTTTCCTAGGCCAAAAGCGATAGTCTAAGCTGCAGACTTCTAATAGCATTTCATTCAGTACTTAGTACCTAAGCAGAACTACCTTTTCATCACCGCTCAATAGAACTGTTGAATTTGAGTGACGGTTTTTCTGTGTACTGCCTATGCAAGTTTTGCTAGCAACAGTAATTCCTATACGTTGTTTGTTTTGAACGTCAACTCTTTGGACAAACTTGCGCTCCGTTACTTCAACTCTGTAACTACCGTTTAAAATCCTACACGATGACCATTTGAACGTGCATCGCTGTCTTAATTTAGGACAGAGATCCGAAAGCTATGAAAACACTGTTTTCGTGAATTTGGCCTGTAAGCCTAATTTGGCATCGGCCTAGTGGCAAGTATTGTAGCTGATTCAGCAACCATCAACCACCACCAAATCACACATTCTGCCAAGGCTCCCGAATGAGCACAATCCTGTTTTCTTAAAAATTGAATGGGTTGCCTATATCTTTTTTACTTTTGGAAAAATTCTTTAAATATACACCATCTAAGAATTTAGTCACGAGACATGCAGTGAATGCGAAGTAGTAGTAAAGAAATCAAAAGCCATAGACTGGCCATTTTGGGAAACCAAGCAACATAATACGGTAAGGGTGCTGTCTCACAGAATGTTAGCCGGGATCCTCGGATGTGTTTTCGATTCAAAAACTTTACTTAAGTAGGGTTGTAATAATAGTTATCTTGCAGGAGAATCCTAATATGTTTGCGTCGCATCAGAGTGCCGTTTATTTGAACAAATTCTATTCAAATGCCTGCGGAAACTGCACTCAATAAAAAGGTCTATTTATGTAGTGTAAATCTTTCTTACTGGTTTCCGGTGTTCCATGAATTTGGGTATGTTTTATGCAAATATTTTTCTATATATCCGTTAAATATCATACTACGTCGACTTTAAATTTTATTCTTAAGGAAAGGGTGTCGTCCGGACTCCCAACAAGTTTGAACTCGACCCACCGTCACACTTAAATTCACGGTTTCCTAACTCTACGCCGTGCATTTTTTCATAAATATAATTATTTATTTCCAAACCTTGTTAAAAAGATGTTATATTGGGATTATTCAGTTTTTCAATTGATGTGGATTATGCTTATATTTTTAAAGAATTTTAATAGGTGGGCATTTGCGATGATCTATGAATGTACATGTCACGATCTTAAAAATCTGATAGTTGGGAATCTTTTGGAACCGAAAAATGTCCCCTCTTCGAGTATAATACTTACAAAAGACGCTATTTGCCACAAAATGCGCACATAGGATTATGGAAACCAAGCAGACTTCAAAGTGTCTGCTTATTTTGGTTGATCGAGAGTCAGTTCTGCGAAGGAACTCGAGAATAAAAATAACTACAACATTTTTAAAGATTTTAAAAACGATTTCTTTCACAATTGCGCATAGGTTTTCACGGAAAAGAGTTAGGTCTACGATCTGATTCTAAATCTGTCGAACATCATAGTTTTCTTTTTTTCCAGTCTAGTGACGTTGAGGACCTACCTCTGCGAAAACGTTTCCGTGACTGATCTGTTATCCGCAACAGACCCACCCGCTGGTTTCAGTTTTAATGTTTTATTGCACTGTCGAAGTCTGAAGAGACTAAAGCAAAGTTGTTTCTCGAAACATTTGGCAATAAAAAAAACTTTATCGAAACAGTTGAGAAAGGCTGCTTGTTTTATGCACAACCTGAGAACGTCTTAAGGTAGATTTTTTCTTAGCCCAAGTGATTCACTTTGGAATTGTACCCAATGGCATTTGAGCTTCTTTTACTGGCAAACTATGTCCAAGATTGACCTGTGTTGATTTTATGAAATGGTCGAATTTTGAATAATAACTGCCAGTTTACTTTCTGTGATAAGTATACGTCAGCACCTACCTTACCTGTACTTGGTACGGCTGCGATCATGCCCGTTCCAGCCGGCTTCAGTGACGTCCCGAACTGTACTTCTCCACGTATGACGACCCGCGACAGCGGGTCCGGACAATTCAACCCATTCTCTTCGCCAACGACGGAGACTGCATACCGAAGGTCTGAGAACAACTTCCGTGTTTTTGCCAACTGTGTCTATTGAGGTTCTGAGTTGACTCCCACTTTGACGCCTGACTTTGGGCAACAGTGTCGGATCGAGGGCAGGAGCATTGAGCTCCTGATGTGGATGACGATGAACGTGCCCAAATCACCTCCGTCGCCTTTCTTGGTTGGCCTGGGTTATCCTTGCGATGTTGTTGCTGGGAGTGCGGTCTGTCTCATTTGAGACGGAGTCGGTTTACTTTACTCAAAAGGATAGTCCTCAAGCAGTGGTGGTCAAATGTCTCCATTCCTCTTTTGTCCTCCACGCGCACAGCCGAGCATTCACAACCATGGAGAAGGAAAACCGGACAGATGCATGGTACGCGCGAATTTTGGATGGCGATGAGATGTCGCGACTGATCTATATGCCCTTCCTAAGGCTTGGGAAAACCCGGCGGGTAACATCGATTCGGCAGACAATGTCGTCCTTATTCTGTCCGTTCGGCAGCACCCTCGGCTCGAGATAGTTGAAAACTGTCTACTTCTTCAAGGTGATAGTCGTCAATCTCGAGAGGTGTCTTTTCCTCGTCAGGGATCTAGCTTGAAACCACTTTGGTCTCTCCAACGTTTCTGGGCAAGCCAACCAATTTAGCGATAGCGTCCACCCGCAACACCGTAGACTGCAGATCACCAAAACTTGAAGCTGCTAAGGGAGTAGCATCGGCATAGTTGAGATCACTCAGTCAGCGCCCGGACGCAAACTCATTTTCGTGTAGTGTCCTCCCGAGAATCTAGTCAATAGCGTAGTTGAACAAAATGGATGAGAGTATGCAACCTTGTCGAACTCCACTGTTAATATCGGACGTTTGAAAAAGATTGATATGGGTCAGAACTCGCGCAGTAGTGGAGCGGCAATAGACCTTGATCATGACGACGAGTTCTGGCGGCACACTATCTACTGTCATTATTTGCCACAGGGGCCCACAATGGATGGAATCTAACGTGGAAAATAAGTCAACAAAACAGACGGTCTTCGGTTGTTGCCAGCTATGGTGGAATTCAAAAATGCGTCTCAGTGTTAATATCCTGTCTGCGCATCCACGCACAGCAGGAAATCCGGCTTGGTTGGGCCTCGTCTTAGAGTCACACAGGGCCTGGAATCGCCTGAGTAGAACAATAGCGAAGACCTTCGCAGCAACGTCGATGGTGCTTATGCCGTAGCAATTCTCACATCTTGCCTTATCTTCCTTTCGAAGGACAGGCAGAAGGATGCCCGAACCCCAGTCATTAGGAGAAAAGTCGTCTTCGCACGCTTATTCAGTCACCTGATGGGGCTGGGACGCCAGGGTGTTGACACAGGGCTCGTGGATTTCAGCGGGTAAACCGTCGTCTCTGGTTGTCTTGTTGTTATGTAACCCCTGTATGGCATCGGCGGTTTCTTCAGAAGGGGTCGCATGACACTGCATAGGTTGGAGAGGGAGGATAATCCGCTGCTGAGGAGAGCACGGTTGTGGTGGCTGGGTATTGAAGTTGAGATGGTGCTCGAGGTGCTCACGCCAGTGCTCGACCTTGGTCCAGTTTTCACCAATAAGGCCATCATTCAAGTCACGAACAGGGTCACCCAGTGCAGAGGGCTTACCATTAACATAGCGGACAAACTAGTAGAGTTTTTGATTGTCACAAACTTTCGAGGCCTGCCTCATGCAAGTAGCTACTTCAGTCAAATATTTGTTTCGGTCATCCATGGCCGACTTTTTTGTCACTTCCCGGGGTTGGCGAAAGGAATCATCATTATGCTACCTGACTCGAACCGTCTGAGCAGAAAACTGCAGAGTTCTTCCACTGATCCAGTTGCTGCGACTTCGTTGGGTATATCCAAAAATTTTCTCAGTTGCCCCATATATTGATGTTTTTAGTGACAACCACTAATTGCTGTAGTCTTCGCCGATTCTGGTCGTATAAAACGACGGAATTTTCTACTCCGGGCTTCGGCAGTCCTGGGTCGTCGTATATTTGTGACATCGAGGCGTCTAGCACGTGACATTTTGGGCATGAATGAGCGGTCAACCTTGGAGTGCGTACGAGCGAGGACGTGGTCTGACCCATGGGAGTAACCAGTTTCGGCACGATTCCTAAAATTCCTAACCACACTCGAAAGGTCATGTTTCCGTAGCCTACTGTAAGAGCGTTCCACCTGCATTCGCACTAATCTCCTGACTAATTTACGTCGCAGGTCTTGTTGGCGCAAAGTTTTGGTTAGAAATGAATGATAGTAAATAAGCCAGCGATGATTATTCCATTTTGTGGTGTCGTTAGAATGATTATTGTTCATTTTTGACCGTAAGAATCATATAATCAAGTCGCGCTGCACTGAAATAGTACATTTTGACTTGGCAACTCAGAAAATGAATCCTTCTGTCCTGTTTCTAGTCCTTTTCGAGGGTATTGGTAGGCAGCGTAACCTTGGACAAATTCTCATCTTTTTTAATCCTAAAACATGTTGGATGCAAGCAAGCCAGTAGGTTCTTATGGATTCAATTGACATTCCATTGTAGATTTTTCACTTAAGCGGCCTAAAATTGAATTCAATTTTGAGCTTTCAATTACTAAACCCACTATCGTGCTGCCTTATTACATATAGTATGTATTATAAAACACCCAATTGTCCCGACTTTCCATGACATTCTGCTTAGTCGCTGTAAGTTCAAACCATATTAGTTGAATTTAGTACGAAAGCATCATAAGTAAAAATATTACTACAGGGTCTGCTGCGTAAGTTGCGACTGTTAACTTTCTGATGTATTGTCGAACATTTAAATCGGCAGTTTCGATTCATCTCTCCTAACATTATGGTTATAGCCCTCGTACAAAAACCATCATTTATCACTCGTGACATCCTGTAAAAATACCGCTTTAAGCATAGTATCTGGGAGACTGGCGTGGAATCTTTATTATTTTCGCCTAAGGAGTTCAGATTTTTATTTTTCTAGTTCGTTAGTTTGGTTTCTATCATGCAATAGGCCCCATTATGAAATGCACTAATACCCCCATGAAATATTGATAAGTTCACGAAAAATAAACAAGGAGCCGAAACCGACCCAAATGCTTCGTATAAATTTTTTGATAAACTGTATGCTCAAGAGGAAGTATTCGTTGGTTAGAACTGATGTTTTTGAAGATGGAAAATGTCGCAATCGCGGGAGTTCGTTTTCAATAAGTAAGTATGATCGTGGAAGTGCACAGTCCTTTTCTATCCAAAAGAGGAGTAAACAAAGTAGCGTGAGCACAGCAGGATTTAAAAGGCGCTTTGAGGTAATCCTCTGGCCGAGCGTTCTCCAAAGATTAGTGGATTCCACGGTATGACGGCCAGTCAATCCTCTTGCCCTTACCAACTTCCAGCAAAACATTGTTAGGAATTTTCGATGTACTTTCACATTTTCATGTCGTCCGAGGCGCCGTTGAAAGGAATTTTCTTAATTTCGCAGGTAAGAGGCTTCGAGATGTTGTCACATATTGGATTCTAAGCGGTGATAACTAATTGCGACTAAAGTCAGAAGATATGCTCTTTCCTGCGTATGAGGATTAACGCCCTTCCGAAAAATTACTGAATACTTTCTTGTTACAGGTACAATCTAATATATTTCCTTGATTTCATTAATTTGAACGGGGTCATTTATCAAAAAATACGCGCATACGTCTATATACGTTCTAAAACATATTCCGAATATAAAGGAAAGTTGGCTTACGGTTAAGGACTACATTTTTTGCCTGAATAAATTCAGTAGCAACATTCTGTGTGGCCTTTAACGTAACGTGCCCGACTACGTATTAAACTAAACAGCGTTCCATTGATACCGGAAGGTTCATTTTGGTTTCGCTTAACACGGTTTGCTGGCTCGGTTGCCCGCTGATCATGTTTGCCTGGGGCTTTTAGGGTCTGCAAATTCTAATACCAGATCGTATCAAGTTTCTGTCGATTTGAGTGGCACAGATTAGTGTGAGCCTTTCTTTGTGCACTGTGAGTGATCTGCTGGTGTTTTAAGATGAGCAGCTGCAAATTTGTATAATTGATGACGATAGAAGTAGATCATAAAACCTAAGGTCCAATCTCAAAAGTAAACAGGACTTAAGGAAATCACTCTTCAGAAAAATACTTGCTTTGTACTTGTCTCTTATTGGTGCACGAGTAGTTCAACTTGGACACGGTATAGCAAGTCAGTTTAGGTTGGTGTAGGTTGGATAAAGACTACGATCATGTAAGGGCCACTGTCTAAGACTCCGGACAAATAATAGCTCTAAACAATCAGCGAAATTCAGTAGGCAAATGCTTGGTCATGCATATACATCATTATACTTTTGGATTTTGCTTGAAACATAGGCAGCCACTTAATGATAGCAAAAATGCGAGTCTCTAGTGACAAACCATAAGAAATAGGGGTGTTCAATTGGAGAGGTTATTTGCGGTCGGACGTTTTAAGTAACCATTTTGACTCCTTCTATTAGCAAGAACAATTTTGCAGTTTCATTTTTCGCTCTACAGGTAACAACGAAACCCGAAAAAAAGTCTATATTGAGATATTTCCTCATCCCTTGGAATGAACCATCTAGTCGTGGGACACTTATGTGGATTTAATACATCATTATTAGTTTTTAAGTTAAAAACTACTTTACAGTCCCCCAAAAACCATGAATTCAATAATAAATCCCACCTTTCACTCATATCGTCATCAATGCAATTTTGGCCTGATAATAATGATTCACATCAAACGTTTGCTAAAAGTTCACCAGGTTTTTGTCAAGAAGAACTGACTGTTGATATTGCGCAGCCAGCTGCCCTGCTCCATTCTTCTGCCATTAACACATGCCAAAGGGTCAGCATCTCATCGCCATCGACACAAGGGAGTTCAAGGGAGCTGTTGAGTAAAAAGATCCAGTCGCTGTAACAAGAAAGTTATTGGTCTGACTTTTGGGATTCTCACTCTTGTCTGTCATGAGTCAGTCGCAGATAAGAGGTATGTATGCACAAAGAAAGCAGTAATAATGAGGGAGGGGCAGTTAACATGCCATCACGTCTTTTATTAGCAGTATCCGCTCTCAAGATAGGGGTCTTATTTAGTGCAATGATTGCATGTTAGTTCGCAACTCACTCGTTAATTGCCGCAATCTCATAAACGCTGTTGATTCTTTCCGTGATAATTACCCGGCAATTTGTCTCGCTGTCACTGGATAGCCGGGCATACGGCAGCACTTAGGAGGAAGGACGCCAGCTGTTAGGTCGCGGCTCTTAATACGGGACCCATCTGTACCCTCTGGTTTGACGAGGCCGAATTTCTAGTAAGAGATGACAACTGCATGAGTCGCAGGATACTTGGGTCACGGTCCTCCGGCCCACAATCGATTAACAAACGCATCGATCTCCCGACTCCATATTCTGTGTTAAGACTGTCTGGGCAAAGCTATTGGCCACATAGAGAGAGCGCAGGCGGCCGACATTTTCAGTGACAGCGAGTCAGCCTTTTCAGTAGTTATCTCGCCATTATTCAGTAACGTGGATGAAATTACGGCTATTAATGCCTTGATTGCGGATTAGCAAGCGATGAACGCAGGTGCTGTTAACTACGCAGGCTGCGGTTGCAGGCCAACGGTGTCTTGTATTACCATTACACTCCTTGCGTCTCCATCGCCCTTATCTCAGACCGTCTCAGGTAATTGGTTCGAGTGAGAACCCGAAGCGCCAAATGATAAACTTCTTATTCCAACGCTTGCAGCTCCTCTTGAACCTTATCATTATTCATTTGCAAAAAATTTAGGTAAATAGTTTTACATGTTTCCACTGCACTGAAAAGTTTACAACGATTTCCAATAAGATTTCTTTTTGAAGCGAATCGGGTCTGGCACTCGAACAGCCATGAATAAATCAGATGCAAAAGTGTTCGCCTTTGTAACCAATGATTTGAGGCCACGGATACCTAGGTAATGCAAAACGTTCAGTGTCTAGGCTTTCAAAGGTCTTGGCATATTTTCTTGGACAAAAAGTAAAATTGAACAAAATTTAGCAACTACGATGCAAACAGACTGAAGTTTTCATTTTCGATTTGTCTGTCGTCAAAGGCCTCCTATAGACTAAAAGGACTGAGAATTTGAACGTTCTATCGGATGAGGCACGGGTTTTCATAAATTTGGCCGAGATCGGTATTCCTCAAATGACGCGGCAATAGCATTTTTCCGATCTGGCCCATATAAGAGGACTCTAGACACGTACCCAAAGATCGAAGGAAGCTTACACATTCCGTTATGCGAAAATCATATAATAACGATCATCGGGAACAATTCCACATACACGCGTTTCTCTAATTCCATAATTGATATACGAGGCGACAGATGGCAGCTGAGATCAGACGCAGAATTCTCCGGTGTAAATATTTTTTTGCTTTCTGTGAAATGACTGGATATTTTACGATTTGTAAATTTATTTAGCCCACTGAAAAATAAATTGTAAAAGTTATTCTGCATGCTTTTATCATGATTACGAATTCGCAAGAAGCCTCTTACGCATTTACAAAACTATTGGCGAAGTGAATCAGAATATCGCTCTTTTCTTTTAACCTACGCGCATATCAAAATTATCGTAGGTCTCCCTCGCCCTTTTTGTCAGAAACAATCCTACAACAAATAGCCAGACAAACCTGTTTTGAAAACCATAAGGTTTTCTGGCTCATACTTCATCTTTTGATGCTGCTTTCTATTTTATAGCATACAGTCTATCTTTGGTTGTGTGGTATCGCTTCAAACACTGCAGCAACCAGCTTTTCCGTTCATCCAAGTACTAGCGTCTCATATCTGACTCCTGATCTACCCCTTCCGACCCTTTTGCAGAATGCATCCCTCTGTAGTTTATAACAGTTACGTCTGATTGAAAAGAAGAACGTGATCACGTTAAGCGACTGCAATCTTCACTTTGACGCGCGCTTTTTACCAAGTCGGCGCCGTTTCTGATTGAATGCCACCGTTTTATTTCTATGCAATTAGCAAGCGCACAAATACTTTTTGAAAAAATCTGTCAGTCGACGTGACGAAATGATGAATTTACCTATCCTAAAGGGCCTTGTTTCTTTGTTTTCACCGGAATCCGTTTTTTAATGTCGGTTATATTATTACAATTCCTGAGGTGTCCTATTAAAGTTTGACATTTTTCGTATAACGAACAGAGCCCAGGTACTCTTTACGTATGGGTTGCCGGGAGTTTAGGGTAACTGCGAAACTTTGCTTCTATAGTGTAAAACCTTTGGTATGTCCTTTTCTGAGGCAAAATCCTGACGTTGATTTAGAAGTCAAGAATTCTGATAAAACGAAAGTTTTGCATTATCTAAATAATTACCTATTATCTAGTCACTGCATTGCTCATGAAGACGAGCTAATAGCTTTCTACGGAGAGCAGACGCATTAATCAGACACTGGTTTAGAGTTCTGATAAGTTGCAGAAAATATGAGCTCGTTGACTGTCGATTGCCGACGTCACTATATTAAATAACTAATCCACGTCCGGGCTGTGTGCGCCTGTTCTGAACTTTTCGATTTAGATGGCACCTTGAGTAGATCAATGAGACGGGTGGAGGTCGGATTTCGACTCTTCGGCGGTCATAGCGCCTCATAACAAGTGCCTGACAGCTAGACTGACCGAAGTCAAGACAAGCTGACATGACCTCCTGAAGCCTACAGTAGGTGGGCTAACTCATGAAATGTTAACCGAAATTCCGAAATGCGTTTTCGTTTCGAAAAGATAAATTAAGTAGGCTTGTAAAACTAGCTAATCTGCCGTATAATTCGATAATAATTCAGTTGTCTCGGGATGCCGGCTTTCGAAAGAACCCCCTTCCGGCTGCATGCAAAAACTATACTCTGTAAAAAATGACTACTTATGTAACATTAATTTTTCACTTGAACTTTCCATGCCCCCAAAATTCCAATCATATTTCATGGAAAGCATGCATAAGACGATTCATTCATTTGCTCATTCGGTAGAAAATTACGTCTTCTTCCAACCTTTTACTCGAAGGAATAGTATAATTCGGCTTTCAAAAACGTTTCCAATTCCTGAATAATTTTGAGCCCGCTCTGCCGTCACACTTTCGTTCAGGGTTTCCAAACTACAAGCCGTATAATTTCCGCGTACGAAAAACCACACTCTTCAACGGTATTAAGAGGAGACCATATGCGGTTTATAAAATATGGCATTGGATTTGATCCATAGAGTTAACTTTACAAGCCACATTGATAAATACAGAGACATGACGTTTTATGAACGGCCATTTCATGGTATTAAAAAGTCCCGCAATAGGAAACTTTTTAAAACCTACTTATATCCCTCCTTCGAGTATAAAATTATAAGAAGACGTAATTATGTACCGAATGAGTGGAAGAATAAATATTTTATGCATGTTTTCTATGAAATATAATTGGACATTTAGGGTCATCGAAAATCAATGAGAAAACTGCATGCTGCATAAGTACTCATTTTTTACAGGGTATAGTTTTTGCATGCAGCCGAATTGAAGTGTTTTCCAAAGCCGGCATCCTGAAGTAACTGAATTATTATAGAATTATACTGCAGGCTGATTAGTTTTACAGCCCTAATTAATTAATCTTTTCGAAGCGAAAACGCATTTCGGAATTTCAGTTGACATTTCATGAGTTAGCCCACCTACTGTACAGCTTTCCGAGCCGAACCACAACTTTTGGAATTCCTGGAAAATCATTGCCAATATCCGAATGTATTTACGCCGTGAATGCTTTCGTAATTTAAAATGAGACAATAACATTTGAGAAATATTAACATGTGCGAACCTTATTACGAAATGGCTTTTATAAATGCCTTAAACAATTTCCCTCTGCTGATCCAAGCGATCGACTCTCTTTCCTCGGAGCTAGACCGTGTTCGGTTTTTTATTTAAAAATGCCTAAAGTGTAGCATAAGTGGCGGTTGGGCATTAAGGAGAGCACTTTCTGACGTTCGCAGTTGGTGAGGTCGCTGTTCACTTCGATCCATTAAGTGAGGAAAACATTTTTTAATTATACACTTCACTGGTATATTCACATGAGGAATTCATTCACTCTCATTTAAGTCCGAAGTTAACACATCCCTCCTCAGTTCGACAGGCCACTGAAGAATGTGTACTGTACAGATACGTTTCAGGACTGGAGCAGAAATTTTATGACTAGAATGTACCCTCTTACACATGCGGCAAAATACCCTTAAAAGTGGTTTGCAAACTTGCTGTGTGTTATTCTGCAGACGTAGCTATGATTACAATTTATATTCTTTCAGAAACACAGTGATTCAAAACGCTTTCAAGGGCAGAATTATCATTCTATCTTATTTACAGGTGTTACACCTCTCCTATGGGAGAGTATGTTCATATTACAGAATTTCCGTGACAAACGTTAGACGTATCCGTATATGATTAGCAATGAGAAAAAGAAAGTTGTGAATTTTTGTGGTATTTTTGGACGTAAAATGTAATTTCATTGAAGATTATACCGTTTTGGTCGAAGTATATACGAAAACGAAAGGTCTTTCAATGAGCAAACTGGCAAATCTCCCGGTGTTTGAATTTGCATGTGCATTATTACATAAAAAATTTATGGAGCAGGGAATTTGGCCAGAAAGTTGGATATTTCATGTGTGCCTGATCGCCTGTCATTTGTAAAAACTTTCTCATGTGCATTTTATTTTGTTTACTTCCTCGCTTAAGAAATTTTCATCGTAGCTGCAAACTTTAGTTTGCGGAGCTTCGCAGGACAATTTTTTGTTTCCTGTATGCGATCTTCCAGTCGTTCTTTATTCGCTTTGTATATTTTCTACTCTTTCATCACGTAAAATACAGTTGAACTCAGACAGTTATGCTGCGTTTCCCTTTAACACAAATATGCTGTCGCACATAACGGCCACCTGCGATGCGCCCATGAGTGCTCTGGCTCGGAAGCTACTTTTCACGCACATACACACATCTATATCTACCAGGTAACATTAGGGTTCAGGCAATCGCTTACAACAACATAAGGGGGCTAGTAACCGACATACGTTTGCATTTGACCCTTTTTCCTGATTTTTATTCTCGTGTGATGCTAATTGACTTATGTGTGCGCTGTAAATCTCAGAATATTGCGCGTTTTGATGCTTAACGTTGGCCTGCACATTTGAGGTACAGTTTGTAAAAAACTGATATGACACATGAACTTAAATGATTGCTAACTCGTAAGAATGTTTCACAAGGTTTGCTAGGCCATAGTTACCTCACAGAAAATGCCTTGTACCAGCATACATCCTTACTCACTTGGTTTATTCCAAACTTAGGGAAGGCCAGACGCTCAAAAACGCTGTTGTTACTTTAATATAACTATAATTCTTTATTCAAATTAAGAAAGCGACCTAGCAAACGATTTTCAATGAGACCTTTAATTGTTCAGCATTTCCTAGCAACCGGGAAACAACAAACTGCAAGTTGCGTTGGCTGCGTTTTCAATGACCTTCGTCAAAACAAAAGCGGTCTGCCATTGTCAAACTTAGTTAACACAGGCCATAAAATACAAAAGATAATTCTAGCATCCATATGCTCAAGTAAAGGGAAGCCATTATGGCCTTGGAGGGATGGAAAATGTTGCAAAACTCCAGCTATTTGAGGATCAGATAAATTGTTGTCTCATGTCCCTTTTCTAGATATTATACCAATGTTTTTTGAGAAATTTGATTATCTTGTGTTCCATTTAAAAACTTGCAGCCGCCATAAAGAAGGAAAAATTCTTCTTATTTCATTACACGCAATATATATATATATACATATAGAGAGAGTTTGGGTAGCCTAACACCTATCCTTTGGAGTGTAGTATGCATATTTAACTGTTCCTTAGATTCTTGCCGTTTACAATGGTTCGATTTCGTTTATGTCTTTGGCGATAGCCCACATGATCTTGAAAAATAATTCGTTAGTTTTCGTGATCTAAACTAAAGTTCAGTTAAGTCAAAAGATAGTAGAATGTGAAAGATTCCGTTGCTAGCTTTTTGATATCCGTTTGGGCCGTTTGTAGGTTTCTGACTCCTTTATCACAACTTTGAGTTGTCGGTAGCTAATTTAATTTTCTTATTACCCTTTTGCACTTTCTACTAGCTACGTTTATGAGCGAAGTCACCTTATAGTTTGTATTTATTACTTGTGAACTTATGGCACGCTAATGACACTGAACTTGAGTGACACATACGCAGAGTCAGCCAACCTACCATCTGTCCAACGGTCGTAGTGGAAGCTAAATGCCTCTACTGCTTTACGTGTGCTTACTCCTCTCACTTTGAACTTGAATTTCCGATATGGATACGTATTCCAGAATAACAAACTTGTCGTTTGTAGCCATATTCATTCAACGAAACATGAAGAACGTTGAAAATAATATTAAACTCGCTACAACGTCATCGTAGCAAAAGTAGCGGTGTTTAAATCACGGAGCTGAAATTTGCATCTGTAAACTCGACTTGCGAAAATAAACAGATCTTTACATGCGAAACATGAGAAACGTTTTCGTGTCTAGGAAGAATGTGGCTTTATAACCAATAAGCATGGATCGGCGCATTGGCTCTATCCTCCTGCGGAGGCTTTTAATTTCTCACATTAACATTTTTTTTCTTATGATGACACAGGGTTTACCACATGTCTGCCGTAAGATTCGATGATAATACCAACCACTAACGCATGTTTCCGTAGCCCCTACATGTTTAAAGTTCTGCACGCTGAAAGCAAATTCGAAACAACCCATCTGTTTACTTAGAATACAGATAATGTAAAGTTGTGAGTTTTATCTAAATTGCTTAAAAAGCTTTATGGGGATGCTATGGTTCTTTTTTGAATTTTTTCATTTTATCGCTGTCAGTCGTACCTTTTTTCATTTTTTTACAAACTGTCGACACTCGCCAGTTTTCTAGTAGCTGGAAAGCAACGAACATTAGATCGGGCTAGCCCAATTTTATTATGCTAACGTATTTGACGAATGAAGTTCGGCTTACGTCGCCAAGGGGAATTATTTTAAGGAGCCAACTTTTTATGATAACTTTTGACTGCCGCTTCAGTCCTTTGTACTATTAACTATCACCGAACAAACTTGCTAATACTTACAGTGCGTGACCGATCTCATAAAATGTTAGTCGAAATTCTGAAATGCGTTTAGACTAAGAAGGATTAATAAGGTGGCGTATGATGTCTATATATACAGCATGGCACGTGTCCTTTTACCAAATAGCCCGTAGCCATTGCCATATTTTATGAACTCTATACAGGATCTTCTGAGGGGCATAGAAGAATATATGATTTTACTTACACGTAACGCATGCAACTTGTAGACTGAAATCGATAAACGCTAATGCAACGACTACTGGGGCTCGAAATTATTCGGGAATTAGGGAACTTTTTTGAAATCTAAATATACAATTTCTTTGGCAACAAAATTTAAAGAACATGTGATTTTCTATGAAACAAGTATACGAAAGCATATTTATGTGCATGTCTCGCATAAAATATATTTGAATTTCTTTGACCATACAAAATAGGTATGAAAAGTACATGCCACTTAAGTAGTCATTTTTTACCGAGTACGGTTTCTGCAGGAGGACAAAAAGAAGTTCATTCAAAAGCCGACATGCTAGCTTGTCCGAAATACTATAGGATTATGCTGCATAATAATTAATTGTACAACGCCACTTTATTAATCTTTCCTAGTCGAAAACGCATTTCAGAATTTCGATTAACATTTCATGAGATCGATCACACACTGTAAAAAGTGCGTTCATCGTTCTAATTAATGGGTCGTTCAACTAATTCTGTTTTGGTACTCGAGCTAGAGCCCCGGAGGCAGTGATACTGCCACTAGTAGTAGGGGCAGAGGGAGATTATCGGTCATGCCAAGGGACATTGAGATGAAAATTTTTGGCGCTTTAGTCGTCATTTGTCAAGCATACCCTAATCCAGGTTTTCAGTACCTGTATGTTCTTTGCTTGAGCCTTATTAGGCCCAAAGCTCCGTAAATTAAACTGTGGGTTCGTTTTCCCGTCGTCCGAAGTCGGAGATGTCATATTTGAAGTACGTGTATTGATCAGGCTACGGAAATGCCCCTCCCATTGTGTTTTGAGGCCTGATTAAGATTCCTTCATGCAGTAACACAGCGACTAGTAAGCATAGGCAGACGGAGACTACCGAATGTAAGTTCTGTAGATTATACTATTGGTTGGCAAGGCGAATGTAGGAGTGTAAGAATGCAATGCACTTTGAACGAAAATGTCCGCTTGGTCAGTTGCCTAAACGAAAACAGCGCCCTCTCGGTCATGATTAGGAACGAAGTATACCACGGCATTTTTGCTTGTCTAGCACTTCTACAGTGAACATTACTGTCCTTAAAACGCCTTTAGCAACGTTGATTGCAACAAACTGTCCATTTGTACTAAAACATTGCGCTCAGAGTAATTCTTGGTTTACGCAAACGACCACGGAGGATGGGGCTACTATGTGATTGGGGATGCTCATCAGACCTGACATGACAAAGGGATCAAAAATAACCTGAAATGGTGACCATAGTCCTGACGGAGGTCAGCACATTCAGATGCATCGCCGGTCGTTTTGAGCTACGAAAGTCAGGAGTTAGTATCGGTATCCCGTTTAAAGCTTTTCAGTTTCCTGTTACGGCAACCAATCAGAGTGGGTGTTTTCGAGTTTCCGAAAGTCAGGCAAATCATTTCTCCTGGCATGCATCTTCTGTCAGTATTTATTTAGTCTACCAAAGGTTGCTTCTATATTCTGTAACACTGTCTTAAATGCCTTTCATACCTATGTGGTCTGATGCCACTTTTGGCAAAATCATATTTGTCTATTTTAGATATACCTTTCCGTCGATACAAACCATTGCTGAAAATATGAAACCAGTTCTCGATCATTTTCGGTGAGTGTTAGCTTACATCCAATGCTCTTTTGCCATTTCCTGATTTTTTTGATGTGTAATCACCAAAAGAATATTTTGAGCGTTCATATATAAAATTCTTCTCCTAAGAGTCAGATTAATCCGGTAAGACTTGAAGATATGATTGCTGACGGCAACAATTTACTCATCGAAGCTGTCAGGCTCCTACTCCGATCCATCTATACATCACGAAATTCTGCGTTTGAGGAAATTTGAGTAAACGAGACGCTCAACTTAGGCCAGCGTTACTATTGAAAGGACATCCCAGCTACGATATAGCTGCATGCTTAACTGGCGGATTAAGCTGCCTCATGAAAGTCTCCAGAAAGACCGATAGCACATTTCGCACATCCCGCCAACGAAAACAGGATAAACGCTGCATAATGGCGTTGCGCTGCTCAAAATACGCACACGTTGCGGCATGCCGAGAGCAAAAATTAACCAGATTCGTTATCTAGGAGGATAAACTGAGTAGGAAGAGCTACCCCAGTGGTTCCATCAACAGATGCTAAGGCCCTCGCATCAGCAGCAGCAGCAGCATAAATATAGCACTTACAGCCTTACATCAAAGGCGCTCTATTACCCGTGAACTTATTATTCAAAGCGATTCATCCTACACCTGCCTATGCCCTTAATATGCATTTGAGTCAGACGCGCCAATGATCGAGTAGACACTTCGAAGCAGTCAAGTGTTATCTACGGCATAACTTGCTTTAACTGTCTATGTCATTATGCAGGTCAGGTTTCCCGGACATAAAGGAGTATTTGCACGTTATTGCACACTAGTCGTCGTGATTACTCACTGCCTGATTCAATATCACACTTTTTTCTGTTGCATCGATTGACATAGAGATGGCGGCAGGATAGCGCGTGAAATTATATAGGTGTGAGGATCCGATTAGCATCGTTCAGCCCATGCATCGAATTTGCGCCTGAGTACCAGAAGTAACTTAGCCATGCTGCGAGGCTCCATTTCAGCCGCAGGGTTACTAACTGCCACTGAAATAATATCGCATCAGTCGGGTCTATTTGTAGAGCTGGGACGAGAACTGGTCCAAAAATCCAGGTGAATCAAATATTGTTGCCAACGACCGGTTCTTCAGTCTTGGCAAACGAGAAGCCTAGGATGCGTATATTCTCACTCATTTTTACCAAATGTATCTGTCTTACTCAAACATTTAAGTATAGGATAGACATGCCGGTTTCAAAGTCTGAACGAAACCCCTACGAAATCGGATAGGCTTCTAATAATTATTTCGGCAATTGCGCTCTACCTTCTCTGGGATTTTCGAGACACGATCAAAAACATTTTCGATCAAGTGAATACCGCGTATTCCTCGGGTGGCAAAGAATCAGTTGGCGTTAATTCGTACTCTGCTCCAAGGACGTCAGTATCTGATGCGGTCTAGTCACCATTTTAAAACGCTCATTTTCACTTTGGCTTAAAAGACGGTCAAACTGCAACGAGTAATGAATAGTTGAGGACCAACCAGTACATAGGAACACTTGATGAAATTTTCCTTCTTACGTCGGGTTTTCTGTTAAAAATATGCTAGGGTTGGTCTGCAGTAGAACTCCTCCCCATCAAACATTAAATGGGATTAAGTAGTTCAAAACAGAGTTTTATCAAAATCAGACATTTATCGGTGGGCGAAATTAACCTTTTACGTATGGATAGCCCCTGTTCCGAAAAGAGAGGGCTTTATCTGCGGCCCTTTTTAAAGCATTTTGCCTGTTTGCCGCACGACAGCTATCTCGGGTCAGACTTTCAAGGTCCTTCCAATCTGTCCTGAGAACGTCATTTTTAAATTTAGTAAATGCAGCAGACAAGGTCCGATTTCCCCTTATCTGCTTTTTACACTTCTGCGAGAGTTAAATGTTCTCCGGTGGGAAATTTTTTGGTAAACGCAGAGACTAACCTGACCGCCATGAGATCGGTGAAAGTTACCAAGTAAATGGTTTGAATATTCTTGACCTCTCAATTTCACTCACTTATCAACACAGAGAGTTTGTGAATGTACATTTTTTCATGTAAGTTTACAGACTAGATAAGTGTTTGCAAACACACTATTTTGCATTACTTTAGGATCGATCATGTCGTCTTATTTGGCGAAGGTGCCGGCGCAAATATTCTTGCTCGATTCGCTGTAAGTCACAAACTTTATGGGGATTGTACTCAGCTGAATTCTCCACAACAGTGGTTTACTTTTTAATGCGTAGGACGTGAACTTGCTAGTTGAGAAAAAACTTCAGCATATGCGAGGCATTCATCTAGGATGCCATACCTCAATTTCACTCTCTTACGTCTACTTATGCGTCTCTCTAGACAAGTTAGGTTAGTCTTACGATGTGTCCCCCCAAATTGAGCAGTGCTCACTTATTCCGATTTCCTCTGATATTTCCCAAAGTGGTTATCATTATTAATTTAGAACAACTGTAGCGACAGTTATTGTGGTCGACTACAATCTCTTGGAACCTTTTTTAACAAAGGGCAATGATACTAATGATGCCATTTTGCGCTGAAAATACAGTCTTAGAAAGTGGAATATAGAAATATGAATCGTTCTTCTGTTTAAAAATGTGCAGATAGGACGGCTTTCTTTGCCTGCCAAAATATGACACTGATAGGAATTAGGAAAAGTTCAATTCTCATTGATCGCTAAACAGTGCTTGCTAACTGATATGCAATGTGCGATGAAAAACACGAAGTAGGGCTTCTAAATTTTGATTGGCTTTCACGTGTAATAGATTATCAAACTGAGGTGTAGAATTGAGTGACAGAATACATAAATTCAATCCGGTTCCCATACGACAGCATGGTGGCCCCATAATTCAACATTCTATCTCTCACCTGTGAGAAATTAGTTATGGCTACATAAATGCCTAAATAACGTTGATATTCTAAAAATTTTCAACGCTTTTATAAGTTTTGAAACAATTCTCGGAGCGATGCATAGATATGTATTTCCTACCAGCCACTTGATCGCAAATATAATCGTCTCCAGGGTCTTATCAGAAGGCAATTGTGACAGTTATTTGAGATCCTAACGTGACGGCTAAAGTAGCCTGTTCCTCATAATGCACACAAAATTGCCTGCATCTGCTGCAGTATTTAATGAGCGTTATAAACCTTAGCCAAAGAGCCTTAAAAGACATGGGATTTTTAAAGGAGCTTGCATCGGTATAACTCATAATTACGTATGGTATATTGTGAACTGTCATATAATTATAAGATAATTAAACTTTGTGTAACAGTTAGTTTGGAAGCCTTGCGAAGAGGAATATGTGGTTCTTACACAGTAGGTGGTCTAACTCATGAAATGTCAACCGAAATTCCGAAATGTGTTTTCGTTCAGAAAAAATTAATTAAGTAGGGTTGTAAAACAGATCATCATGCTGCATCACTATATAATAATTTGCTTACCTCAGGATGTCGGCTATCGAAATAACGTCTTTTCGGCTCCATGCGAAAACTACACTCTGTAAAAAATGTCTGCTTATGTAGCATGCATTTTTCTCATTGGTTCTCGACGCCCTTAAAAAATAAGTTATATTTCTTAGAAAACATGCATAAAACTATTCATTCTTCTGCTTATTAGGTCGGAGATTTTGCCTTATTTCAATTTTACACTTGAAGGAAGAGTATAATTCGTTATTCAAAATCTTTTCTATTCCAGAATAATTTTGAACTCGATCTGCCGTTACACTTGCATTTAGGGTTTGCAAACTACAGGCCGCGTATTTTCTGCGTACGGAAAACCAAACATTTCCCAACAGTATTAAGAGAAAACCATATGGGGTTCATAAAAATAAGCAGCGGATTTGAACCATATTGCTAACTTTATAAGCCACATTCGTAAATGCATATACATGGAATTTCATAACGGTCATTTCACGGTATTTAAAAACCTCCCAATTAGAAACTTTTAAAAACTGAATTATTTTCTTCCTTAGAGTATAAAATTGAAAGAAAGCGTAATTTCCTATCGATGAACTGCACGTGTAGAATTATTTTCGAAATCATGCCACGATAGAATACACTAATGTGAGCAGCTGGGATTCTTGTGAGTTATCATTAACCTTCGTGCTTTTTTACGTAGTATTAAGGCATCCTGAATTAATTTATTTTCAAAACGAACTGATTTATAACAACATTACCTCATTTGTTTCTCTTTACCAGCGTATTTTTATCTATTATAGTAAACGTTTTTCTACTTCGCTTGAAGAAGTGCACCATATTTATTATTAAAAATTTGTTTGATCACATTTTCTAGCTCTGATCAGCTCAAACGCAACCACCCCATCGATTATCCGATACCCTAAATATAGTCATTTAGGTTTCCCACTCGCATTTAGACATTTATTTTCAATGGTTTACAATGACATAGAGGACGTCTACTATTAATTCGTACGGCTATTATTCTAAAACCAGTTAGGTTTTTGGTTACTGACTAAGGTCTTTTATTTAGTCCAAGCAGCCACTTTAACCCAAAAACATTTTCAATATTATTTTCACTCGATAGTCAACAAATAGGGGAGAAAGATTTTCGGCTAATTCCACACGATTTCATGTTACCTCTCTTGAGATAATCTCCACTTTGTGCCGACAAAATTGTAGGGCACCAACCGTCAAAGCTGCTACTATGCTTAATTACATGTTTTTAATGCTTTGGAAAATGCCTCCCGATAATGTTCGTTAAAGGCAAAATAATCTTAAGATTCAACCGCACAGAAGACCTTGTCTTTCCGCAAGAAATTAACTGAAGTCAGACGTAACTGGCAATGTAAAAACGCCATCATTTTGTGTTATTTTCTCTACTGCAGACATAAATGGGAAAAATTTGGTCTCATTCTTAAATAGATGGTCGCTTTTCTTGTCAGTTATGTAGTATTTCGTGGTATTTTCTTATCCTGCACTGACATAATCAACTGAAAAAGACTAACATTTATGCTTACTTTGCAGATGCTCCACGATGAAATGGTTCTTGGAGCTATTCTTATTCACTGCACAGGTCAGACGGCGAGCTTTGCGGACTCCCTGCGTGATAAGGTATCGTATATAACTTTTAACATCACAACAGCCCTTCTGTAGTCTTACAGACACTTATTTGCCCTTAACCTGCCTGTACAATGCAAATCTTCCAAGTTTCTCTGCAGTACAAACAACTCCTTTAATTCACGATATTTCCAAGAGTCCAGAGCAAGGATATAATTGGTCATTGGAGAGATCGTGCAAAGCAAAATGTAACTTGCTCTAGTATATTTGGTTTGAAAGTATGTCGATGTTCGAATGCCAACAGCATACAGATATTTATTTTTTGTACATCCAATCGTCCGAACATATGAAGCAAAATGTGCACAGACTTTTAATTGTTCATGTGCTTAAGTATTCGACACTAAACTGCTTTCTTCTACTAAAAGATGGAGTAGCGAACGCATTTTTATATCAGCTTTTTGAGAGGCCTAGGAACCATCTGTTTCGTGTGTTTGTAAAGTCGCCGTGATTTTAAACTCAGAAATAAGTAGTGATGGAGCGAAACGCACCTTCTTGCCATATCTGCGTCTAATTTCGAAAGAGATCCGGATCGGCCCTTGAGACGTATGCTCATTTTTGGATAGTTTTAGTGAAATAATTATATAACAAAAAGACGGTGACAATGATTTATCCTGCGGTAACTGAATCATTATAGACTTATGTTGCATCATGATTATTTTTACAACACTACTTAATTTATCTTTTCGAAACGAGAACACATTTCGAAATTTTTGTTGACATTTCATGAGTTAGCACATCTACTGTACCATTAGTGGTTACGTTCCAATCTGATAGGATTATTGTCACAGTAAAACGAAAATTAGAATGCATGATTTGTCTCATTGCTTTATTTGATGAGGTTTCATTTATGAATAAATACCATTCCTGTGGATCAAATTTAAGCTTAATATCAAATAATTGGCTAGTTTGTGCTTATACTTTAAAGATGCATATTTGGTTGTAATATTCACTAGATATATAAGAGGAAACCTCTATTAAACTTATGCCAGTTTCTGAAGAGTAAATCGTTTCCTAGTATTTGCTTACTTACATCTCAGTCTTATCAACCTTTTTCGCAGTATAATTACTTATTTCCACTTGAAGAAGTATACTTTTTTCAGCTTGTAAATTGGAAATTGAACACCACGGGCATGAATCCTTCAACAGAAAGTTTTCTCATTCTTCATCGTTTTGGATGGGTGAGTGAACATGTTTGCGCGAAGCGTAGAATGTCTTTCCGAGTATTTCTCAATGCTGTCAAATGCACATTCTATCCAGGCATAGAATTAAAAATCTTAATTTGAGCTCCCCACTTCCAGGATGCTAAACGGGTAAGCTGAACGAATACATCAAACGTTAGTTGCTCTTATGGCCCACAATTTGATTTAGCAGCTATTATGATAGCACCTGCAAAGCTATGTCCAGACGTGGCATTTCTGAATGCTCAGCCCGCATGGTGTGCTTTAGAATAATTGCATTTGCTACATTTCGCCACAAACACGCACGTGTAATATGTTATCCCGGCCATTGCGACATTGCTTGGCATTGGAGAAACATCTGTGTTGGGAAGGAGTATGCATAAATAACGGTACTCGAAGGGGGGAATTGGCCTTCGTTTTATTTGACATTGCTGGACGCTTTTGTGAAAATTGCTCAATCCGTCTCCTTCAGTAAAATTGGCTGGTGTTTTCCAACCCCTTTGTTGTATAACCAATTACCTATGACACAACTTCAAGGTGTACCTTCCGCAACGAAATACGTCTATTGAAGATTTACTGCTGTGGGCTAGACACACGATGGTGATGGTTTCTTCATATCTCTGCATTTTATATTTTGAACACTAGCTGTCTTGTGCCGAAGGCGTTAGGGCAACGTTAAAATACATAGAAGACTGAATTTTCATGTACAGCAAAATGCTGACTGACCTCTTTAAAACATTCAGAGGTGATGCAAAATTAATATTATTAAACTGGTTATCTGACAACATAGTGAAAAATTAATTTGTGCACGTACTTGTACTGATTCTTGAATGCGAATCCTTGAGATCTTGTGCGAAAATTAAAACAAGCAATATATTTCTTGATGCTGTTTATGTTTCTTTCCTCCTCGCAATTCAGGCTTAGTTGCTAGAAGTGCAGAACCAAAATATCTTTTTTTGTTTGGCTATCCCTATTCCAACACGGTTATGCTTGATTGTTTTGGTCTTTTTATGTTTCGCTGACTGCCTTAACATATAATAATGCCTGGACCTGGTATTTAATAATCAAAGGGCGTGTATTTGTCGAATTAAACATGGTCAAACGGATAGCGGCCGGTTTCTTTATATAAGGGAATGAAAACTGAATATTTTTAAAACACATTTTATTCATACTTCAAAAGGACGCTTGTATATATATGTAATTTATTAGCCACCTGTTAACTTTGGTGATATCTACATAATATTCTCATATCGATTTAAACGTGGTTTTAAATGCGATGTAAGTATTTCTAGTCGCTTGTTATGATTAACTCAAGAACGAGGCAAGCGGGTTATACCACAACGTATAGGAGAGTTTGCAAACTCTTCATTCTATAAAAGATTTCTTCGTTCTTCAAAAATAGCTACATGTGCAACACTTTGACATGAAACTTGATGATTTCTCGTCAGCCTCTTTACAAGATTGGATTTTATACAGAAATATGTCAATTAATATTATTAATTTCTTACCGACTGAGAGTTCGGCAACAGGATTTTTTATAGATGACCAGGATAAGCCAGCATGGTGTAGTATTCTTAGGATACCTAAGCTAATATATATATAAATGAACAAATTTCGAGATTTCAGTTAACGCGTCATAAGTTTCCACGCACGATGTACTTCGCCCTGTACAGAACTGTTTAGGATGGCTGCGTGCTGTTCGGCGGGTGAACATTTCATTTCACAGAGAAAATGACGAAAAGAGCATTAATGAACAGTCAGGTCTTTCTGGAATCCAAATAATCTTATTCTGGATCCTGAGTCTAGTACAGAGCTATAAAGATGTATACAGAGATCCTCAAAAGTAGGCTTGAAATCTTGTTGGCACATCCAGTCATAACAGCCGCAGGTTTTTTGGATAATCTAGACGGACAAACGAAGAGGTATACATAAGACATTCGGATGACACTCATTTGCTTAGAAACTGTTCCGAAATAATATTTAGCTATCTAACATGATTTATGGCTTATTATGACACACCAATTTCGCATCTTCAATGCCCATTCAGGTCGTAATATTTTCGGGGATTTGCCCTTTCATAACAGTCAGGTTGGAATCAGGAATCCTTTTGAGTTCAATGCCAAATTTTTTCTCTCCCGATTATTTCCTGGTTTCTCTGGATTCAATCTTTTCTCGCCAATCTTTCTAATGTATAATGTAAAACAGAACTTTGAGCAGAGCCCTTCAAATGTATCTTTGAAATTCCTAAAATCAACATTATCGGCGCCGATGTTTAATGGACACCTGTATCCATGATAACAACTGGAATCAAAGAAGAATTTTTGTATTACATTATTTCGTCTTTCTTGACTTTTCAATATTTCCCGCCCGGAAGATGTGAAAAGATGATAGCGGTTTGGACGCGTTAACTAAGTGTGTCCATTTTACACACAAAGCTAGAGCTGGAAAATCACATTTTACGAAAGAGCATGAAAAATATGTCAAATGATATATGACTTTCTCTGTGTGAAGCGACCTGTTCAACATTGTAAGGAAGACATTCTGAGAAAGTTTGTCGCTTGCCCTTTAATAGACAAGGAACGTTAACCATACCTTCATGTCCTGACTCTTATTCGTTTAATGCTATTTTGTCTAGAGACATGCTGAATACATGCTGAAGACATCGTTCTGTAACTAAAATGAAAAACAACAAGTGGTGGACCGACGAACACAGACTTTCCAGTAAAAGGCAAAACGAGTCTTTGTAAATAACGTCCCACTAGAATTGCGCGTTGCCTTAGCAGTTCACGTTTTCTGACTTCGTTTTCGTCTCACTTTAAGAGGTTTCGGGGACTGAACGTCAAGCTAATTAAGGGGCACTTTGTTTTTTAAATTTTCGAAACTCTTCATTAGCACTTACTGACGTTTTTTCTTAATTCTTTTCGTTCAATTGTAAACTCGGGTACGTCACCTAAAACATTGTTAGTTTTTAAAACGCATCTGCTTAGGTCTGTAAATCCTGAATTTGACCTGCAGTCTAGTTTATTCGTAAATATGCTTCAATTTGAGATAGCTTTTGCGTTCATAAAATTAAACTCGTGAAAGGTACATGCTTCCAATTCATCTCAGTGTTAGTATGCATGAATTTAAACTCGGCTTCGATCCACAAATAATTTCTTTGTCGATGAGAACAAGGAGTTTTATGACAAGTCAAAGCTGTCATTTTAGGTTTTCAGACATTCTTTTTATGCAATATCTACCCTGCTCAATTTCCCTGTCCGTTCATGATTACTTTAACGTCTGCTTCCTTCTTCGTTAGAGACTAGTAAAGTAGCTACTGAAATTCGACGGGCATCGATGTACTACTTTTAAGATGATACTGACTAGGAAATAGATTAGTTGCAACGGACACTTACACGCCTAGCATGTAAAATTTTGAATGACAAGTTTTGAAGCATCAACACTTAACTATTCTATACCGAATCGGATGGAAGTAATAATGCTCTAATAGTCATAATAACATTAACTGCACCACACTAGTTATTGTGTTGAGTTTTGTTTAGAAAATGTTAAGCAAGAAGCAAGGAACTAATTGGCATTTCCACTGAATTAAGGATCGCTGGGACAGAAAGTCAAATATCATCTCGTGAATCAATGTTAGTGAAGGAAGACTTGTGCTCATGACCATGTTTCGCGCACCCAGTTCCAGCCGAGGTCGTTTGTAGTATGGGAAATTATCAACTTACATTGCCATTCTCTTCTGCATCTCATTTTGGCCGAACAGATCTTTTATTCGAAAACTGAGGATTAGCGATGATCAAGATTTTTATGTGAAATACACTGGTTTTCACTGTAGAGGCCTGCATAAATGCATAGTTTACCAGTTTGCTAAGCTGTTTCAGAGATTTGACTGTTCTGGGCCAAATTCTAGCCAATACACAGGATGCCACAGACGTCTAAACTGCTGTTCGTTAACTACGAATGTATCCTCATTTAATAAAACATCTGCGCTGGCCGTGTAAGTGACATAGTCCACTTGAATCCATAATATGCATGCGATCATCATGACGGGCAGAAAACATGCGCAGAGGAAGTAGAAAGGGGAGAGGGACGCCGCACGTCACCCGCGAATGAATAAATGCTGCAGCTTTTTGACAAATCATATTTGCTAGTCGCCATATGTTGGGCTCTTTCTGTTGGGCATTGGTTCATTTATACATAGTGCAGATGTTGCTTATCAGAAGGTAAGCGGACAGTCAGGCGTTAGTGAACGTGCACGCCCAGCCATTCGGCAATAGCCTTTAAAACGTGGAATTTTGCAGCCAGTGCACACGCGAATGTTGACGCGAAGCAAAATTACTGGCCAAGGGAACACTCCTAAGCGATTATTTTAATTGTCATGGATACGGACCTGCAGGAGGTAGCCCTTTTAATGGAACTTTCGAGTTTTTGCACAGAATATTATCCGGGCTAACTTTTAGGGCCCATGGAAATCTAGCAGCTATGATGAAATACAGGTAGAATTTTGAATGAGGGCGGTAATTCTCCCTCTACACACCAGGGAGCGTCATGTCGTAGTTATAAAAGTCAACCAAATATTTGGCTTGGCAAAACGGGACAATTCATACTCTTGTGGTGATTTAACAGAGCCGTCTGTTGCATAGAAAGCCGAAATTTTCACACTGACTAGTAAAGTATTCAGAAATAGAATCCTCATTCTTCGTTTGTGCTAGTCTCTAATACTAAGTCATTGTTTAGCTGAAATATATGCCTCTCCCACGACAAGGGAATATTTTTCAGATCGAATAGGCAAGCCGCGTGCGAGTTAGCTTAGGATTTTATTTAGCAAAGCGTCATGAGTTGCTGAAGACGTTTACATTTCCTGTCAGTCGTGGTACAGTTTGTAATTTCATTTGATTAGTGTACCTTTAACCTGGGCCTCAGACGGTTGAAAAAGGACCTATTAGTGTGGTCGAGAAGGAGTTACCAGGCCTCATATGCGTAAATTTAACGAATGAATAAGTTCAAACGGTCAATAAGGTTGTAATCATGGCTTTTTTATAATTTCACTTCTAGCAGCGTGGAGATTTCTCCCCTACAGCAATCCTGTTGCTGGGCGTTGTAAAGCTGTTTTGGGATGAAAATTTGTTGAGCCGCATCCTCCATTTAAATCAGCCCTGCGGTTGGCTACAAGATGAAGTTAGCAATGTGTCTCGTCGTCAGAAGAAAGAACTTCTTCCCAAAAACGATGGTTATTTGGATGCCACCTAAGGAGTTAAATAACTATGCAAAAAGCTCGATACTAGAAGCTCTTATTAGAAGCAAGATAAAAGAATTTTTCCCATGAACCGGTTTTTTACATGTGGATAAATTTGGCCTAGATTAAAATCTGCACTCACACAATTTTGTTAGCGACCTAAGCACAGTTAAATAACGTTTAGAATCCTGTATGATATAAAATAAGTCAACCAGCACTGGACATGAATAGACGATACTCGATTTCTGTTATTATTTACATATTGCTTTAACACCATCATATGCATTTACTTGTGTGATGGAATCGGAGAGTTTCGGAAAGCAACACGGAAGAAAAATGCGATCATTGAAACAAGCCATATATTCGCTTGACGCTTCGGATTCTCCCCCAAACCCATCATCAGAAACAGTTGGGTAAAATGGTGCAGTACTTATACGACTCAGTTGCCGTGTTATCGCATGCGCACTCTAATTAGAATCTCCTGCCTTCATCTATAGTTATGGCACTTCATGCAGTGATTGATTGTCGGTCTGCATCTAAGTCGTAAATTGCCAAACGTTAATCATCATTGTGGATTTTTGACGTGATAATTTTTCGGCGATTCGGCTGGCCATCACTCCATCTGTGGTTATTTGTGCTCTCTCATGTGGCAAATTACTCTGATCAGTCTAAACCTCAGCACAGAATATGGAGAAGAGAGGTCATTGCATTTACTAATAGACTGAGGCCAATGGACCACGATTTAAGCAACTCACAGCTCACTCGATTGTCCAGTTTTTCGAGACTTTCGGTTCAGTCAAACTTCGTGTTTGCGCGAACATCTACCGCAAAATTAGTCATTAAATTTCAAAGGTCAAAAAAGAAAGACAGATTTACATTGGTATCATTACACAATTTATAGGTTCTTCCACCATAGTCCTGCTGCCGAACATTGTTTTATATTTAGGCGCACATTTTGCATTTATTACATTGACATTTTGACAGTTGGTATAAGTAATAGTCAATCTTTGTAGTTTGCCGGCTTGAGAAACATTTAGTAGACCTTTTACGTGGATAAGCGTTAGTTTTTGGATTAATTTAAAAATTATCCGGACAAATAGGTGTTAGTTCAGCTTTTGTCACTTCTTGAGTTGACGTTAAAGCATTCTAGATTTCCTTGTGTGAATTTAGGTTTCTATCCCATTTTGTTATTTTCGTTGGGCTCTCATTGAACAGCTTCAGGATAGCGGCAAGAAATTCTGGGGAAAAGCTATTACCTGTTGGAGTAAGGTGACAGTAATTCCCCTGTACAAGCATATTTTGTACTCTGTTCCTCTCGAAAAAATGCATGTGGTATGCACTCTTTTGGTTTACTGAACTCAGAAAATTTTTGGTACAAACAAGGAAACTCTAGACACATCTGACACCAGATGTGACGTGGTACTCGCAGACCTTCGATATCAGGAGGTAGGCTCACATCCGTTATTTTTATTTATCATGCAAACACTATGAACAAGCTGGTAAAGTTGAGGGATCTGGACTGATGAGTTGAATAAAAGGTAGCCTCACCGGCAACACCTGAATAAGCTCCGTTCCAGTGAGCCCATCTTTTTTCAAAGCTATAAGTACGCTTTTTGAACAGGCGTGTTGATGGACCTGTTTGTTATGGAAACACTCACTTTTTCGAAGTTGTATGAATTTTATTACAGCATAAAATCTCGCAGACTTCAAAAACACAAGTCAATTTTATAGGGTATACGAAGCGATTTAGCCTCCTACGATAGTTAACGATGGTTTGCGTATGAAAGTTTTTCACGCTTTGGGTAGATATCCTTGGGCTCACAGCATCCGTTCAAAACACCGCTTTCACGAATTTCTTGTTCTACTTTATTGTACATCGAAATTAATTAAACTGCATGCTTATCGCATTTGAATTTGTTCGTAACATCATGTTTTGAGATTACCAGTTTTAATAACGTAAAAGAGTATTATTATTTATATTGCCATCAACTTTTAGATCACAGACACTGGGACGGAACATGAACTTCGACAATCAATCGAGCATTTTCGAGAAAACCTTCAGCATTCTATTAACCCAAAAAATCTTAATAGATATATAACGGCCTACATGCAGTGAGTTTTCTCCCGTATTTAACTAATCGCTTCGTTTTCATGATACAACGTTTATAACTTCGGCATTCGCATATACATAGCATATTTTGAACGTACCGATCCCGCAAATGGCACAGGCGACTGAGATGGCCATTTCTGGCTTGTCAGCCGTCTTCAGTCAACCCTTTTTAAACTCAAAGTTGTAATTGATAAGGATTTGATCACCAGTCCTTCGGTTATTAGGAGTTGCGTTAAGCGTCAGACAATCAACCACGGACTGTTGTCCTGTTGGTTGGGGTAGAAAATAATACCTAGCTTGGGAGGACCGCATAAGGATTTGCTTACAGTTTGGGATATGATCCTCGTGACGTGCCTTGCAGCTCGAATTAGGTCATTTTGGGCAGTTACTCAGCTAATAACAGTAATAGTTAAAAATATTCACCATCATAGGGGGGAAATTTCAGCCTAATTCAAGGAGGTACTGCCAGCATCTGATGGCCCTCTATAAATTTTTTATCCGCATTTTGAATTCTGTTTTCTGCGCAGCGAGTTGTGGCTACTACGTTATTGACAGAATGGCATGTACTGGCGGTCTGAATTGACACGGGCTTGTCTTATTGCGCGCCAAATCGTGCTCTCTCTCTCATTATAAATTAAAAGCACCGCCCATTAAAACAACACGGGCGAACGTATTTCAGTTCCGACTTAACTTCTTGAAATATGGGCTAAGTTCTGGGCTAGGGTTTCATGGGATAAGTCTTCATGAATGAGTTAAGTTTGTATGGACTACGTTTTCATAAAAAGAGTAAATCTTCTTTTATATAGGTCTCTGTATATTTTGAGCGGCTCTTTAGTCAGTGGCTATTCACATGAAACGCTCTTTAAAATTTTAAAGTGCAATTTTAAGACCTTGATAGGCCCCTGCTTACAGATGGGATTTTATACCAAACGAGCACAGGACACAATATGTTTGAGTATGCTTTCCACATATTATATGGGTTTTTAGGATCGAGGTGAAATATTCATACTACATAAGTAGACAGTTAAATTCAGTGCGGTTCTCATTAAGGACCAAAAATAGGCGCCTTAAAAGGCTGACACGCTTTCGGCACTAAAATATCTTGGGATTATGCTGCACGGCAATCACCATTTCAACTTCGTTCAAGTAATCTTTACTCTTGAAAGGTTATTTCAGAATTCTGACTAACATTTCATGAAATTGACCACTGACTGTGCATATATGACTGGGTTTTCACTATTCTAATATTGCCTTGACCCTTGACTATCGTAATCCAACAAAATTCCCGTTAACAGTCCCTACAAGCCAAATATATAGGTCTCCCTTTGAATCCCTATTAAGACGACTATTATAAGCTAATTATTTACGTTGGAGGACGTCTGGCCGAAATTTTAGGAATTATAGGCTTTTCCTTACCTGGCAGATTTTTAGAAGAGTTGCAGTTCATCAGCAGAAGACGCAGTTAAATAATCGTAACTCAATGTTTACGGCTGAGAACCGTTTTTACATAATTATCTGTCCAATTTAGATACATTTGTCCAAAAACTGGATTTTAGATCCCAAAAAGTTTCTCAAATGGAATTTGCGTGCTTTGGTCTGTCGTGGCTGCAGAGCGAAAACGAACACTTCCATTTTGCTCTTAAGCTCTCCTGGTCTATAATGTATACAGCCTGTCGTACGGTAAACGGTTATGAATAATCTTTGGAAATCTATGGCCGATGACGATAAATAGACCAAAATGATCATTTCAATGTGAATGCTTTCTATCGAAACTTCCCCACTGTTGATAACTAGACGCCATGCGGTCAATTGCATGTTTTATAAACCCCTATCTTAAAGACAGCGCGGATATAGTCGTGTGCCATCAAATACTCCCAGCTGCAGTCAAAACAATATGTACTCATAGTTAAGAGTTGTGGATCGTCGCTAAAAGATCGAATGACTTGGGAATAGGGCGCGGGAATAAGTGTTGCCATCCGCACTACAGGTGGCACTGCACCAAATTCCTGGGATTAAGGTTAGGATGACTAACGTTAGAGTTACGGCTAGGTTAAATGTCCAGGTTAGACTACGGAAATAAGTGCCACTGAAACTAATGCCAGCCCGTCTGCAATACGGTGGGGGTACTTAGTCTTGTGCCCAACCACCTCGACAGCGAACCTTCAATGCGCCAACACTTGGTTTTGGAAAAGCGTTGCCTGGGACAAGCTTTTGTTCCACAGATCGAATCTCCTTCTTTATAACCGCTTCCTGGGACTCGTCTCTTCGCTTTCCTGGCACTAGTTGATGTTAAATAAAGCTGAATCGGCCATTCCAGTGTACAAGCCCTTCTCCGTACACGACTGGGCAATTATATCTAGCATCTGTTTATTTCCTTCAGTGCCTGTTGATGAAATCAACCAAATTGAATTTTAGTCGGCCTCATTCGAGGAATACTTTTTGCATTTACAAAACAAATACGACCAATAAAGCTAGGCTGCGGCTTAGCGCAGTTTTGAAAGTTTTCTTGGATATTAACACAGGTAGCCAATTGAGGTCAGCCTTAATTATGCATTTTGAGGTAGGTTATTACTTTATCGAACAATAGTATCTTTGTTAAAGGTTTGACGTTTTACGTCAAAGGTCTGTTTGCCACTTAGCTTGCATATTTCTCCCTTGGATGTATCCTATTGAGATTTTCATTTAATCATAACTGCGCTCTTAATTCGCTATGTATAATCAGTGACCGATCTCATAAAATGTTAACCGCCAGATAAACTCAATTATATTTTGTATAAAAAACATGCACAAAAAGTGTTCTTCTTGTGCTTATTTGGTGGCAAGCCATGCTTTTTTTTCACTTTCCTACTTGAGGGAAAGTTACGTTTAGATTTTAAAAAGTTGTTTAAATTTATGAGGTTTTTAAAGACCGCCACATGTTTATCCAAATGACATCGTATCTGCCCGTTCGTTAATTTTCTTCAAAGAGCATACAAAATATTCCCCGTCCAATACAACATTCATTGAGCCCTATATGTTGTTATTCTAACGGCACAGAGGAATGCCTAATTTGCCACACAGAAAATGTACACGCCTCGTAGAATTAAGCCCTTTAAAGCAATTGCAATGGCAAGTCGGAATCAAAACTATTCGGAAGTTAAAACGTCAGTAAAAACTAAATGTACAATTCCTTTAGTATAAAAGTTGAATATGAAGCAATTCGCTGCCAAAGGACTGCGAGAGAAAATATTTTTGTGTATGTTTTCCATAGAATGTATGTGAATTGTTATGCGTATCAAAATTTAAAAACCATAATGCATACTAAGCTAATAATCATTTTCATGGAGTGTGGGTTCTGCAGGCAGCCGATAAGGAATTTACTTAAGGGCTAATATCCTGGCGTGTTTGAAATATTATAAGATTATGTCGCATGTTGATCAGCTCTACAACCCCTCTTAAGTAATCTTTCCTAATCGAGGACGTATTCCCGAATTTCAATTATCGTTTCATGGAGCCGGTCACCGACCGTATGTATTGAAGGAAAAAAACAGTATGCTAATTCTCGCTATCCCGCTGCCTCTTAGACAGTCCTTTTAGAGCCGGCAGACATAGCTCCTCCCTAACTATAACATGACAGATTAACAACTGTAGCTTTTCAGACCACGTGTGGAGTCACTTGGTACAGGCGTGCTTCTCTGTGGTCTCTTTGTTTAAAGGTAGATGTCTTAAATCACCTCCTAAATATATCATACTGAGACTTCAAGGTTGTACTAAACAACATTGTAGGGCATCATATGATATATTGTACAAAATAAGCCGCGTACGGACCTGTGGCTCATGAAAGTTTAGTAGGCAACCAGTCTGCTATATCGACATTTATCCATGACTAAAGGTATTACACCTGCTTAGCTCAAGACCGTTCTCTCGTCAGATCAGAGAGCCCGTTTTTAGTGAAGACCACGCAACAATTCTAATCCGCAGTTTCGTCAATTAAATCGCAGCTAGGCATACTCCAAATTTTAGGTGTTCCACATTTTTTCCAGACATTGCTAGTGAAATGGTTCGACTAATCAAGTGTCGTCGGACGTTTGCGAACGTGAAGTCTGTGGATCTTCTTTGCAACTAGGAAGTTTGTTTACCTTTAAGCTGACATAGTAAGCCTTTGCTGATGACAACAAGTTACGCTGACCAGGTTTCCTGACTGGCTTATTCAACTGCCAAACTCTCTTGTCGGAAGATAAAAAGTATTATTGAATGCAAGTGTTATTTCTGTTTACGTTATATTTAGGTCTGCGTTTGTATAAATATAATTCCTTATTTATATGTTGAATACTTTTCATTTTAGGCGCAAAACGCTAATTGACCGACTTGCTGAACTGAAGTACGTTTCTGCTTATTTGCAAATCGCTTTTTATGACAGATTTTTAATCTGCACTTCCTTCTTCAGATGCCTCAGGGTATGGACAATAAAGGATGTTTAGCAAATACAAATCAAGGCAGTCATTTTCAGATAGGATTTAAAAGATACTCAAGATGAATATTTGCAGTACAAATTGACAGCGCGTATTCGGGCAAAACGGATTAATTATTCAGACCCTTATGCGTGCAACCAAGTAAATTATTAGTACTGTGGAATTATCGCTGGATTTAATGCTTGGTTGCCCATGAGTACGTGTGTAGCCAGTGGTCTTGGGGGAGATATAAACAGAACACTGATAAACTTTTCGGTCAAGGGAATGCCCGCGGAATATGGCATTAGTGCACTGTAAGGTTAACTTTTGCAAGATTTAACAAAGGGAATGGAAAAACTGAATCAGACAAGATACCTAGGTATATTAAAATACCATGAAGCTATCTTCCTTTTACACGGCTCAGTAGAGCATGTTAAGAAAAATTACTTCACATACGACGTTGCCTCATGACGATCAGTGCTCGTGCAGTACATCATATTGGAGTACTCATTGTAGTACATGTAGAGCCAGGTGAGACTAGGACACGAGATGAGGTAGAGGCGTGTATTTGTGAGTGTCAAATGGAAACAACTGTGCTGCACATTCCCGGGGAAGAGAACATTCAGGATTATTTTGCATCATTCAGCACATTTTTGAAATTAAGGTTCAAAGACATTCTACTTGAAGTTTTGACTATACTACAACTCCCTAGCCTAATTCAGGCTTCTAGCTTTGCTTGAATACTTCATGTACATTCACATATAGCTATTCAAGGGATTACAATGGACATCATTTTCACGCGTTACATACCTATCTTCCTTGCATTGAAGGTGCTCGGTCTTACTCATTACCGGTGCCCTAGCGCCGCAAAGAAAAGGTTGCGAAAAACTGTACGAATGTCTGCAAAAGGCACACAAGGATAACAAAAACTCCATGTCTACGCGGGAGCTTGTTGTGATAGAAAATGTTGCGAATGTTCTTGCCGAACGCGTAAGTAATGACATTATTTTAACATTTATTCCCATCATCCTTGGCGGCACCCACTTAAACATTTTAATTCATTGCGTCTTTAGGTAGTGAATGAGAACAAAATTTTCATTGGAGGCATCGTATCAGAAAATATTGCGTTTTAACTGCAATCGCTTGTATCTGTGCTCCTCGTGGTTGCACCGAGACTGTAAGAGCTGGATGATTGCATGTCTGCAGTCAATAACCGATATTTTTTGAATTGATTTTCTCAAGAGCGTACGTCTGCCATAACATACTTTTGGATTTGTGTGGTCTTCGACTCTCGGAGGGGCAGGCACAAAAAGGAACAGGGACAAAAATGAAGAAATAACCCCATTTTGGTTCCCGAGCAACAAACATTTTCAAATAAATTCAGAAACATTGTGATGCAGTCACACGCAAAACCGCATCTTTCTGGGTTTTTGAGTTAGACAGTCGGCGCACAGAGCTTTAATTTGCTCCGGAAGCACATAAACTGTTCTCATTTGAAAATTGTCAGCAATGATCGTCGATGACCGAATTACTGAATTCATACTCCCAAAACAAGTCAGAAACGTTTCTATAGGTGGATGGATTAGTTAAAAACAATGACTCAATTCGAAAGTCCGCCAGTACAATTAATCATTATGCACAGAACGCAAATGCTCACGTTTAATAAAACGCATTTTAACTCATGCACACTATGCCGCGAACAACATACAATTCTGGTAATCCGGCGAACAGTCGTCCCAGTGGTGGCCATTACGAATTTCTTTGCAGCTAAAGAACACTGACTTGCAAACAGCCAGAGATACTCCGCCAGCTTTACCCAGTTTGCCTTGGGGCGTTGGACCGAAAGAGCGGCATTGCTAATTGTTTCTGCACCCCGTTGCCCTTTTTTCGACTCTCAGTTCAATCTTGCAATCTTTCGGACGAGAATCTTGCCGGATTATAATTAGAATCTTTATTACAACTACCTGGTATCCTCATTGGTTAGATGATCAGAATAAGTAAGGGTCAGAAAACATTTTCAACGAAAAGTTCTAACGAGCATCGTCAGCATATCTGCAAAATATAGACTTATACTGTACTGTTTTCGGATATTGATGGCGAGCATTGGAAGTCATACACCAAAGCATTTCCAGATTAATTTCGCAGTCAGCTAGCAAAGCGGGGCGTTAGACTGGGAATAAGTGAGGTTGAAAATCAAGGCCGCTTTGTCTGCTAGCCTGGCATTTTGAAGTAGCGCCAAGAGCTCATTCTTCGTTCTCTGCGATCGCAAATGTTTAAAGCCACATATGACTTGTGGCCTTTAATCCGATTTTCTACAGAAATGTTATACATGCCTTCCGGTTCGCCTTGGTGTTCGGAGCAAAAGGCCTGCAGGAGCAACCGCGTGGAAGGGAGAGAGCGCAAGTGGAGAAGGATAAAACCGCCAGTTTATATTTAGACTTCTGCCATGGAATATCCGAAGCATTTCGCAGAAATACATTCTTTTACACAAAAAAATCTGCCTTGCACCCGAAACGTCCTCCTGCGTGAAGCAGAAGTACTATTCAAGTATAGAAAAGGAGGCAAGGCGTAGTTATAATGTGCCTGCCGTGCAGACTAGGAATAACGGAATACCGATTAACTTTTATGACTAACGAAACTATCAGCGATTGCCTCATGCATATAGCACCAGAATCGACATAGCGTGTTGCGAGAGTTTGGTTTTTGTCTTCGTATACTAAAAGAATTGGTCTAGATCCACGACATTAGTTACCCAACAAAAGAAATATTCCGTCTTTTGAACTAAATTTTCTTGATTTTTAAAACTTTAAACTAATCCGAGTTTCGGGTCGACTAAGTGTCTTGCGTCGCGTTGAGCCAACAACTGGGAAAATGTCGACCAACTTTTTCTAGCAAGTGATGGTTATTGGCAGCTCTTAATCTTTTTGAACTGGCATTTTATCATTTACGTGCTACGAAGATTGATACGCCTACGATAGCGCAAATATCCATAGCCACAGGCAAAACTTAAGGTGGCAAAATAACGTTAGTGAAACAAAAGGACGTTAGCGGCCGTTTGTGTTGTATTTATGTCCAATTACTTCTTGTCCTGATTGGCTATTTAGATAAAAATTTCGATCATGTGATCCTTTTCGAGTTGCTCGCTCACCACAACGTAAAAACTACTTTAAGTGCAACTGCAACAGGTGTACCTTTTCTGTCGAACAAGTCCTCCAGACAAATTAAACCACACGGTTTTGGCGAATTCACTTTAGCAATAACGATGCCTTCAATCTATTAGAAGTATGAAAAATTCGTACACATAATATATTAAGACAAACATTAAAACGTGCAAAATAAACCTTTTAATTAAAAGTGACCGGGCTCTATTATTAACTTCGTCCTAAGTCATCTGCTACGTGTTTGGACATTTTGCTGCCACAGCGATTGTCAAGTATATTCAACCTCCGATGGGCGTTATTTTTTAAAAACGGAATTCGCAAAATATACTACTCTCAGGCCTGTGCGTTTACGTATCTTCGACATTGAACAGAGGTTATTTGGACATTAGCAGTTGTTTTTTTTTCGGCTTTAAGCACTTACTGTGTATTAGTCAGAACGATTTCTTTTGCTTTTCAAATTCATCAGAAATTAACGGCTACTCTGGAGTAGATCATTTTATACTCGGGTTGACATACGCAGACCAAAATTTGGTGTATGAATATTTGGGTCCATCACCTACAGCGGGAAAACTGCATAATATTCACTAACTGACATCAGGCAGCTAGTGGTGTATTTTAACGTTAAAAGATGCCGAGCAAGCAGCACAGGTACTAGCTGCTCTAATATAAACTTATCAACCCCGAGTTGACAGTTAATTTCCAGGGAAATTAAAAAGCAACAATTACTAAACTGGAGTATCTACTGGAAAGCGCACGGGGGGCCACCAAAGAACCGAACCCCTCGCATCTGTGTCACGTAGCGGCCGAACACCGGCGAAGCACGCGTGTTTAGGCTTTTAACTATTACCTGTGTTGCTAGTATGGTATCTTCGTACACTCTACCTATCCTTGATTTTATGTGTTTAGGGAATTTCTGTCGGACCAATTCCTATCAGTGGTTTCTGGCACTTTATTTATTTCAGAAGTAAGCGGAGAAAAGTAGAAGAGGCTGATATACAATTTTGACATTGTTCACGTTCGAATGATAGTAGCATATGCAGGTTTAAAACACTTATTAAATCACTCTGCCATTTCTTTGTCAGTCGACGGGTGATAAGGTCTACGTCTCCTTACCCACCCAGGCAAATTGCTGAATGTTTGCATGGATTTTGGATCCAGTTTCGTCCAAACCTCTAACGAAATTAACTTATTCCCACATTACCGTAACTTTTTTGCAGTTTTAAGATTCAAAAATGTAGTGACAAGCAAAATCGCAAAGTCCAATGAACAAATCACGTTTATTGTTTTAATTGTCAAACGGTTAGATTAGATTTTGTTTTTTTACTCCTTTGGTACTATTATGAGCTGAACTCTTACGACAAAAGCTCGAAGCACGTCTGTTTCATTTGTAACTTTATGCAAAACGATACAGGTGTCAAGGGCTGAAAGTTTAGTTGGCATAAAGTACGATGACCACATATTTGCGCCATTCGCAGAGTAGAACAGACTGACTAGTCAAAGTTTGCTTGTGAATATTGCGTGACGCTTGTGTGACATAGTTCAGATATTGGTAGGCTCGGTTATGGCTTGGCTTGCGTTTTCGGAAGTCGTTCATATGCTTTGTTTTTCGGCCCATGGATTACCCCAGTATTCTGCCTATTTTTGAAACAGACCCTCTGGCTTTTTCATCTGCGCAGTTGAGGATAACTTTCCATGTTTTTCCTGGTCAAACTTGCCATATCAGATGTACCCTAAGTTATTTCCAACGCAACATTTGCCATCCAACTGGGCGACGAGTGCACCAAACATGTTGCAAGAGCAAACAACGCGTTAGCGTTGAATGTACCCTTACTCTTCTTAAGAGAACTATCAATTGTTGGGCTTCACATAAAATACCCTGTATTCGATCTCTGCATGTCGAGAATCTTGTCTGGCTAGGGGAAGCTTCGCCAAATTTACCAAAATTTAATAGAGTCCCCTATTTGTATTACTGTTTTTAGTCATCAGTGCCAAAAGTTTTAATCGAATTATTTTATGCGAACGCTATGACAACTTGATATGTTTTTACATTTACCCATACTGCTTTGTTTTCAAACTTTTGTTATTTGTTTTTTTTTCCCTCTAGCCTGACAAAGTGATTGAAAGTATGCAATACTTCATTCAAGGAATCGGTCTTTGTACGTGCCGAATTTAACTTTATGTGGACGTTTGTTACTAGATATTTCGATCTAGAAAGTTTTTCATGTCGTAGAGTAGAAGTGGTATGCATTTCAAGACGATATAGTGAAAAAAGAAGAGATTCTTCGGAAAAAATCGAGTTGTCTTTTATGTGTTTTCTCGCTATACATTTTTCTGTCTAAATGCTACATCTGTTTAAGTCGTAATAATTTTTTCTGCCTGGTGGTCTTTTGTTTTGTCTTAAAAATTGACTTTACCTAGTATTTAACCCAGATAAATTAAGGGATGTGTATAGGTTTGATAGTCTACGGACCAGGTTTCCATCCATTCTGTCAGCAGTAAGCCACAGTTTATTAAAGAATGTATTGCTCTATCGTATACGTAATTACAGACTGCAATGTACGTTAGCCACAGATCGTGTTTTTTCCATAATTTCATATTTTCACGTCGGAATTTTTGAAGGCTGCTGTAGGTTTTTCAAGATTATTAGTCATAACGTCCCAAAAACGTCAACATTACAGTGGAAATTCCATCCATATGGGGACATCCGCAAATTTATCGAAATTCATTTGCGCACTTTCTGTACCTGCATATATACACATTTTTTTGAAAAATAAATGCTGAAACGGAAATATTTCCGAGAGTATTCACGATCAGCTGTTTTCGGGAGCATCTTCTATTTATGTCGCATTCTGTCACCTCTAAATTTGCATTCAACAGTGAGCCACGTAAAGATGCAGACAACCCCGTTGAGCCTAAATCGGAGAATGTCCATGGAGGATTATGATCGTCCAGTGGGAAAAATTCAACTATCTGCTGGGTTCCGCTCAAGTCTTCTGGCAACTGATGTGACAGAGGACAAGGAATAAACGACGGTCTAAATGTTTTGCGTAAATGGACCCTGCTGACAACACAAACCTCCCCTCCACTTGCTGTTAAAATGTACACCTTAGGTTCCGACACATGATTAGTCCCTATATTTCCAACTAGTTAAACTCAAAGCTCACCTAATTTGCTTGACTTAATTATTTTCGTGGACAAGCTGTTTGTGGGGCACTAAAGTACACCATTATATGAGATCTACATATACCCACACTGCATTGACGCTCGCACAATCATTGTGTGCCGATCATTTTCCATTTGACGTGGCTGTCTCTCACTTCATAAATTATGGCTATTACTTGACTTGTTATTTTAATGTTATTCTAAGTGCCTGATAATCCTTTTTGTGCAATAAAACTCAAAGTTATGTCTTCAGTTCTTCCTTCAATGGTGTCTTCCAAACGAAAAAAGACCACAAAGTTTTAGAATACTTGTAAGTTACGAATAGTTAATGGTTTTGTTCCATATTAACCAAACTTTTAATAAACTAGAGACGCAATACCGCTATAACAAGCTTGCCTTAGCATGATTTTTACGAGACTGTAGCGAATGCCACCAGTGAATTTCTAATCATCAAAACAGCAAATAATTCATGTTTACCCAAACGACAAATAGAGTAATAATCGTTTAAAAACCCGTTCTTACCTTACAAGATAGGCATTTTAGCAGTGCTCATAGTATGCCCTCTGTGTGGGATATATCGCGCTGAGTCAGATATTAAAGACTGAACCAAGTAACTTTATTAAAATATATCAGAGGAAAATTAACGTGGGTCGTTGCATAAAGGACTTCCAAAGGTATTTCCTATCTGAAAGGCAGATTTTGTAACGGTCCCTCAAAATGCCTGAGAAGTTATAAGCCACAGAATATGATGTCCATCGATTACATGGTAACGTAGTAATCTTAATCAGCAATTTACAAGTGCGAGAAACGTCCTTGGCTGTAGGCACATTTAGCGGGACATCCGAAATGTACGAAAGGAAGATAAAACAGTGATATATAAGCCCACCTGAAGACATGGACTTTCATCTGGGGAGCGCAATGTGCCTTCAATTCATTGGTTGTAGGTTTGACTTAGATGCCCAGAAACCAAGGAGCTTAGACTTAAATTCACTTATTCATCTGACCCGAGGCTGGGATTGTCGTTGATCGGTAATTCCAAAGGAGTAACAAACAAGTAACTTCTATCTCCACTTTTCAGTAAATCCCTGCATGATACTTTCCTAGTAAGGTGCTCAGAGTGGAGAATCAATCCAGGTGTTTGATATTTCTATTTCGAGTATATGTGACAACCATAAGTCGCTCACAATGTACAAAAATCCAGCATATATTAATTATATGGCAGTCAATAAAAGCCTTTAGCTCTCTGGGACATTCTTCTTTTTCCCACCTTATTAAGGTTGCTGTGCCACACGTAGCTGCGCAAAATGGGCTTTGGCAAAGGCTGATTTTTGTTAATCTTTTTTTGGGAATCATGGCGGCCGTGCTAATTTTCGTCTTCCCAATGCATGTTTAACAGCAGAAGTTATAAGGCCATATCGGCTCCTGCCATATGTCGTAGAATAAATTGTCTACGACCAATTATTCGGAGAGATCCTATTGCTGATAACATGCATACGACCCCAAAACATCTGGTTACACAAACGCTATGTGAAGAATGCGTTCCAGATAACAGTGCGACGACTAAATAACAGCGACGTTTAACCCCAATCCATTAGATATTTGGTAAAAATTCCACAGTTAATTTGGAACACCTAAAATCGACCAAAGGACGAAGCATTTAGTTGGACTGAGCAGAATCTTTCGCGTGCGGATTGTTAAAAATTCCAAATTTGTTATGGTTTATTATGAAGATCACCGTTTGTCCACCTTTGCATTAGCAAATAAATGAGCAATTACTCGTGCAGATGTTTCTACAGTATTGTAAAATCACTTTACAAATAGTAGAGTAGAGTTAATTGAGCCATCCTTTTTTGCAGCTCTCATACATAGGAAAGCTGAATGCTCAAAGATTATCTTTTTTGCCACTAACAGGATATATATACCCATATCGATATATATATATGTATAGGCAGAAATGGCCATTCCAGTCTCCCCTGTCTTTGTCGGTTATGTCATTCTGCCTATATCATGCGCCGCTGTGCGGCCGCTGGTTGGACTCGAGAGAGAGTCCATAAGGCACAACGGAACGAGTGAGTTCCGTAAGTACGATCGGTGAACCCCCCCTACCATTATACATATGTGTGCTAATAAGTTTTGTGACGCAATAATGCCCTTTCCAGTCCTTTTATACTTAATAACGTATATTACAATTAAAACTTGCTAATTTTCTGAAGGCATGGAAACCAGACAATCACGTCAGTTTTTAGCGTCGTGCACAGCGACTTTTAAACAGATCGCCGTTACTGGTCTCTACTTCCTGGGATTTGGTGCAGTCCATCATATCACGAAGTGTCTCCTCTAAGTAATCGATGTTTTTTCGAAGTATGTTAACTTTTTCATTTGATGGGGTTACGATAAACTATAAAGCAAGAACTTGATTTGGCGTATTCCAATAATTTAAAAACGGTAATTTTGTATGCGTCTGAGCAGTTGTTTCGTGATTTAATCTCCATGAATCATTATTTTAAAAGGTTTTCCACATTAAATTGAACTTCACGCCTGTGGTAACTAAAAACTGAATACTTATTTTAAGGTGAGTTTACTGTCACCTACTTGGGACCCTCCCATGCAAGTCTCATTTGATTTTTTGGAGCCACGGAAACAATTTAGCGCCTTTTACGCACATTCGTACGGACATAAAACGTAGCAATCGTTCAGCCGGTTTGAAACTTAGTCAACGATAATTTGCGTGGTTTTATGTCATAAGACAACTTAGTAATTTGTTAAATATTTAGAATCATGTGAACTAAGCGGTATTCACTTTCACCTCTTTGCATGATATAGAAAAAAATAAGTAGAGGTTTCTGAAACCATGAGAAAATTAGCATATCGCACACATTAATGATATAAAAAAGAGAAGGTCCTTCCGAAGAAAATCTGGTGACACCGTTAGATTTTAAATTTGGTTATACCAACACGTCGTCAGATGAAGGGAACAACGGTTGGCGCCCCAGGGTTTACACAACCAGTCATGAGTAGATACATAGCTACGGTGTTTCTGAGCGAAGAGGAAGGGGGAACGTTTACGGCTCCCTGAACCAACGATGATGGCCAATCAGTGGAACTGTGAGCGGCTTAATCAGCGGTCGTTTATGTGAGCTGAGAACAGGAGTCAGAGAACCCTGATAGGAAATCCTCTTAGTGCGCGTCTAAGTAAGCGTGACGGTTGATATTGCCTGAATTGGGGCACAGGATCGCGGGGAGTTCTCTCGCTCGTTTTATGTTGGTCGTGGCGCTGACCTCAATGTTATCCCCTTTCAATTGGTAGTCGTAATCGAGCGCATGCGCAAAGACGAGGAACAATGAGTCATGCCGACGGAGAGCAATTCCATGTACGTTAGCAGATGTGCCCAGTCCTCGACCGGCACGACCGACATCAACGCAGGAGCAATTAACCCACGGATGCGATAAAACACGTTTGGATGTTACTCGTGGGGGGTTTGATTCTTTATTTGGAATAATGTTACACGCAACGGAGATACTGGCTTTTGGGCTGTCGGGCGATTACTTCAGAGGTTTCGCGCACCTACGGCGGGAATGGAATTCGTGCGCCTTGATATTCCATTAGGCTGCAGCCCTACGAATATGCCTGACGCCTGTGTCCGTTCTTCACAAAACTGGCCGGATGTCCATTAGATCGGAGCAAACAGCAGGCAAGTTAGTTCTTTTCTAAGCCAATCGCAACAGCTACAACTAAGGTAGATCGACCAAAGAGAGTTCAGCCGCGTTTCGTTTTGTGGGCTGCAGGGTGGTTGTCTGCATAACTAAGGATGATCCTCTCCCGTTTAAGAAGCCGCAACCGTAATATTAGCTACCATGCAGCACAATCCCGAGGTATTACAGTCACTATAGTGTGCCAGCTTTTGAGCGAGCGTCTCTTCGATCGCCTGTGAAACTACATTCTGCAATAAAATGACTACTTAAGTTGTATTAATTGTTCCCATTAACTTTCGATGTCCTTATAAATCAAAATATATTTAATAGAAAACATGCAAAAAAACTTCCATTTTTATTTATTCGGTAGAATATTACATCTGCTTTGAATTGTAGGCCTGAAGGAAGAGTATCTTTCGGCTTGAAAAGAATGGAATACTTTGGGATTATGTTGTATGGTAATAGATAGTACAACCTTACATAAGTTATCTTTTCTGGTCGAAAACACACTGCAGAATTTCGGTCAACATCTCATGATTTTGCACATCTACTATATTTTATTACATGACCAGACTGGTGAATGGCCTCCCACCCTAAGCATCATTCTCAGTCGCAAATTACATGACATGAGTCCTGGGATCCAGATGAAAAGAAGTAGACACTATCGCTGGGACAACACTTCCATTCGCCTGACTCTTTGGCCTCATGCTCGACCTTTCTTTCGGGACAGCATCAAGTACAGATAATTCACGTGTAAATGGCTGCGGTAATTGTAAAATGCAGTCACAATGTTAACGCATTCCCGTGAAAATGTACGGCTCCCCTTCCTGACCGGGGATGGTTGGCCTCGGTACAACAGCTGTCTGATGGCCATCATTCGAGTCGGTAATAGATGCAAGTTAATAAGCAAGAACGGTACAAAATTGCTCCAGCAGATTTTACCTAAACAAGGCCGTTAACAGAGAGCGATACGTGTCATAACACTGAAAAAGAGATTCGCCAGTTGCTTGGTTCAGCATCATCCTGAACGACGTCTTAGTGCATAACCCGTTGTCGAAAGAACTGAGAAGGGAGTAATTGCAGGTTTTACGTCATGAGGCCTCATTTGACGTGGCTGATGCCAAACCTGTTGACACTAATCCAGCAGCAGAGGCAGTACTCTATCAAACGA